TCAACTCTCTTAAGTAAGTTTTTAGTAGTGGGGAGGATATCACTTATAGCTCTTCATAGAAAGATCTTTCATTTGGGAGATTTTGAGCTTCCGTAAGGCGAACCATTTATTAAAAGGCCCATTATTATCTGCATAATTTCCAAGGAGGCCGCTGAATTATATAAATTTTGTATATTAATACTTTTATGCAATAATACAAACTAATTAAATATAACATTATCTCTTTTTATTCGTAACAAATTCGTATAATTTTGATGTAGTGTAACATTTGATTGACTAGTTCATATTGTTTTAGTCGTGGATAAGCAAGCTGATAATCAGATAGATGGTGGGTAAAAAAAGAGTTTGTTGCAGATAATTTGAAAAGAATAAAAAACAATAAACAAATGGTTGAGTTGCCAATTTGCCATCATTTATTTGTTTCCTTCCACTGAATCCTTTCACTTTCAGATCACTCCGTTTCGGCTAAACCGCAAACCGAAGCTACAAATAAGCCAAAACCTCTGCCCCGCATTTAAGGCCTCAGAGTCTTCATGACTCATCCACCCCACCACCCACCCACGCTTTCTCCCTTCTTTCTTTCTCATCATATCATATATACACACACAACAATACAATATGCAACAACAAGAGCATGAGCCTCCTTGCTTTTAACGTACCCGTTTCTTGTTTCTATTTATCTTCTCTTTTCCACCTCTCTGAATCATCATCATCATCTTCACAGAGCCAAAAATAGGGTCCGGGGTTAGTTGTGATTTCTTTCTCTATACATGGCTGTTCAAACTTGGTTGTGTTCTCAAGATCCTCTCATGGCTTCTTCTGCCGTGCCTTTCTGTGGCTCCCAGGATTGGGCTTTGGGCTCTGCTCTGGGGATCGGTGATGGGTTTTCTTCCCAAGGTCTTCTGCAACACATACCCGAGCCCCCTCACACTCTCAAGAGATCTTCTCATTCTTTCACTTCTGAGCTTGAGAAACAGAGGCTGGAAATGGATAGGTTTCTTCAATTAGAGGTAAATTTTTTCAATGAATTTAAAGGACTTGTTTCTGGGTTCTGCTTGGTTTTCCATTATCCTGCATATATAATCCCTATGTGTGTGTTCATATACATTTGCATAATTGCATGGATCCTATACTTGCATGTTTTATCATTTATGCCTCAAAGGCTTTATTTTTTTCTTTCTTTCTGTTTTGGGGATGTGGAACAGAATCAGAAATTGAGGAAAATGGTGATGGAAGAGCAAAGCAGACAGCAAAGCATTCTGCTGCAGGGTTATGAATCAAGAATGAGTGGGTTACTGAGGCAAAGAGATGCAGATTTGGCAATTGCCAGGAACAAAACCAGGGAGCTTCAAGATATGTTGATAGGGGCAGAGCTGGAAGCAAAGCTATGGGAGAAAAAAGCCATGGAGAATGAAGCCATTGTCTCAGAACTAAGCAACAGGCTGAGCCAAGTCAGGGAAAGAGATGCTGCTTTGTTCAGTAACAGTAGTGCCCAAGATGCAGAGTCATTCTGTGGCTCCACATCAGCAGGAGGAGAGGGGAAATGTTTGGGTTGTAAGATGTGTCAATCAAGAAGCCTGATGAGTGTTGTGTTTCTTCCTTGTAGACACCTATGTTGTTGCAAGTCCTGTGATGCTTTTCTTGAGCTTTGTCCTGTCTGTGCTGCTCTGAAGGAAGACAGCATAGAGGTCATCTTAGGCTAGCCTAAAATCCATTGCTTTTTTAGCAGTAGTCCTAGTGGCATAGTAGGCTAGTAGTATTGAAGATCAAGAAAGATAATGATGATGACAGTGATATGGGAAAACAAGTTTTCTTGGGAAGTGGACATTTCTTTTTTTAATTTGAGGGGGCTGATGATTCTGTGTTTTGGGTCTGTGTTGTCAGACATTTTTGAGCACCTGTAACATTCACCACCTTAATCAAATCAGCTGAAAATGGATGTGAATTGTGAAGTGCAATGTATGTATTTAGCACTCTAGTTTAATACTTGTAGCAGACTAGCACTGCAAGAATCTTTTCTCTGTGTTCTTGCTTTATTAATGCCTATCTAGCTTCAATAAAAGCAAAGCATCAACACCAGGGTAGGTCATCCTTGATTTGGATTGTGGATAAATTTCTTTAAAACATATTTATTTCATTCCCGAGAGCCTCATCATCTCTATCTCCAAGTCAAAAGAAATAAATTTTCTTGATCTTTCAATGGCCTAATTCACTTAGTCACATATGATGTAATTTATCTCACGTATCATAAGTATTATGCAATGTCTTATAAAATTTGACTATTTATGGTCGGTTAGATTCAATTCATTCTTTATATGCAAATCGATCTAAAAGTCATCTCCAAGGTGCATCTAATGCTCTCCTTACATTAAGGAAAAAGCGAAGGTCCATTCTTCATATGCAAATCGATCCAAAAGTCCTCTCCAAGGTGCATTTAATGCCTCCTTACATAGGGAAAAAAGAAAGAACACATGTTGGACACCCGGCATGTTAGCCACGTGTGAGATCGGGATTCAACGACGGCATGTTAGCGGCGTGTGGCATTGGGATTCAACGATTGTTCTCATCGTATAATGTGTCAACCGAGGAGCAAATAGTCTACATGCTAGTGACATGACAATAAATTTTTTTGGCGGACAATTGTAAGGTAGAATTAAAGACTATTTCTGTTTGATCTAATTATTGAAGAAGCAACCTTCCTAGTCTCATGCGATTGGGTTGGGCAACAAGGTAAGTATGCTTGAGCTAAGGTGTACAATTCAAGGGAAACATTTCTTGACCACATTGTGGTTAGGAAGCTCATGTATATGGATCGGATCAGCTCGGGTTCGATCAAGTACGGTCTCATATGTAATTATTGAGGATATTTTTCAATGTTGATAGTGTATTTCCCCATCAACATTATAAGGACTTTCACAAGTCATGCAGATCAAACTAAAATTTCCTGACCTACCCATTAGTCCGTTGGTTGAACTAGTTCATTCTGTTACATAATAAGAATTTTCACAAGTCACGCAAAAATAGAGCTAAACTAGCTCATTTAGTCACATAATAAGGGCTTTAACAAGTCACTGTACTCTTTTCGTCACATAATAAAAATAGACTTTCGCATGTCAAAATAGGACAAATTGAAGTTTCTTGATCCACCCATTGGTGTGATAATACAATCTCAAAATGGGACTAGGCAAACTAAAATTTCCAAATTTCCAAATTTCCTTCTAAATCCTACAATTTAAAAACAAGCCTAGCCTAACCCAAATATCAGGTTGGTCCATAGTTGACAATGGGTTCTAGGCTGGTAGTGTAAAGCTCATGTTTTTATTTGTTGAATCGTTTTCTTAAGACCTGCAGTGTAAAAGATGAACTGATTTGATACTGGGTATTATTTATGTAGGGGCAGAAGCAGGAGTTGCATTGAGATTGAAATGGCAACTTTATCTTTACTGGAAACTGACAGGAAATAGGAAAATATGTGAAAAGAAAGCAGGCCAGGGTTAAAGGGCAAGCTGCTGCACCATATGAAGCTGCAGTACTATACGTATAGTACCGGGATAATTATCATCTCACTGAAGAAAGACAGACTTTTTTTCACACTTTTTTCCTTGGTCAACACAACAATGCTGCCAAAGTGGCCGTTCCCATCAAAAGGAAAACGTTTATTACACACTTGTTAAACCAGAAAGCTTCACAGAGGGTCTGTGGGGGAGATGGAGATATCTATTTTATTGCATCTTGACTGGTTGTTTTGCAGCGTACCATTGCAGTACTTCTTGGTATGCCAAGATTTATATTGATGCTTTGTACTAACTCATGCTTTTGTCAATGCCAAAGTAACTTTCGTTGCTGCCAAAGTGATAAAGAGATTATAACAAACAAACACTTTTTGTGAGGTACTTGTGGTGTGTGTGAGTAGAATGGGACAACAAATCATCTTGTTAGGATGACTATTACGCATGAGTGTGGGTTAAAGTGTTAAGACACTACGTCTAAGGTTTTTCAGAGGGTTTTTGTCAGATAATTATCTAGGCGTGTCATGAAATAGATAAGTGTCTACCTATCTTTGAGGTATCTCCCATTGTGATTAAAAACAAAAAAAACAAAAACACGTTTTGAGAGGTACTTGTGGTGTGTGAGTAGAATATGACAACAAATCATCTTGTTAGGATGACTATTACGTATGAGTGTAGGTTAAAGATTTAAAGTGTTGAGACACTACGCCTAAGGTTCTTTGGAGGGGTTTTTGTCATGAAATAGATAAGTGTGTATCTACCTTTGGGGTATCTCCCTCTCTGATTAGAAAAACAAAAAACACTTTTTCGAGAGGTATTGGCTAAGTGTGTATGTGAGTAGAATAAGACAATTAATCATCTTGCTTAGATGACTATTATAGAGGACCGTGGATTAAAGTGTTAATGCACTCCACCCAGGGCTCTTCGGGGGATTTTGCATTTTTGCTAGACAATTATTTGAGTGCATCATGAGATAGATAAGTGTCTACTTAACTTTGAGGTCTTTCCTTTGTGATAAAAAAAAAAAAAACACTTCTTGGGTATATATACTCTCATTTTAAGATGATTGGCTTGACTATTCCACTATAATTAAGGAATAATAAATGCAATTTATCTCTAAATGGATAGCTGAATGGATAGAACATGATTATTATAGTGGAAGGTTACGGATTTGATTCTTACTAATATTATCTTGATAGAGCTTGTGTACATAATCTTTCTAATACAACTTTTCTCTACTTGAAATTTAGTTAATGAGTAGTGACGGTAGGTTTTCACATCACAAAAAAAAAAAAAAAATGGCCGTATGGGTTAAACTTAGTAGACTTGCAATCTGAAAATTGTTTGGGCCGATATCTGGTTTAGAAAGATCTGTTAACGAGTCATAATGAATAAATTGGGCCTTGGATTGTTGGACAAGTTGGTTTAAGTGGGCCTTGAATCTAGTAGCGTTGAATGTCTAAAATACCCTCATTCAGACATCCACCACACTCTCTCTCTCTCCAATCATTTCCAATTTTGCTGAAGAATTCAGCTGTCTCATCATCGGCGACTCAACGGAGAATTCCGCTCTGTGCTCCGGCGCTTCGTTTCGTCTCCACGCTACGATGCATCAAGGCGATTACAGCTCCGTCTCCTACACTCAGTACCCCCAAAATCCCAATCCTATCCCTAACTCCACTCCCAATTTACTCGATCATCATCCTCCGCCACCACCGCAGCCGTCCTATGCCTCCGCTCCGCCCTACACTGCCGGCGGCTTCACTCCCAATTCCGATTACTCTGCATATCCCTCTTCTTACCCTGTTTATCCTCAACATTCAGATCCTGTCCCAACTACGCCTGCGCCTAACTTCCAGTCCTACAATCCGCCGGCGCCGCCGCTTCAACAACCTCAATCTTCCACTCCATTTCCGAGATTCGAAGCTCATGGAGCCTACCAACCTCCTACGCAAGCACAGTCCTTTTATCCGCCCTTCGATCAGCCCCCGAGTTACGCCCCTTCCTCCAATCATAGCCCAACGCCTAATAGTTCCTATTCTTCTATCTACCCGTCTCAATACAATCAACCAAGCTCTGAACACGAGAATCCCTATGATAATAATATGAAATTCGATCAATCTAGAGGGTATTTCGATGAAACTGCAGGTCGGTATGGGAGTTACGGGTCCGGTAGAGGTGACTTCGGACAAGATTATCATGGGAAACGACCTGAGAGAGACTATGGGAATGAAGGTTATGGTGATGGAGTGTATGCTTATCAGGGGAGTAAGGTTGAGCCATACGGTGCTCGAGGCACGGCTCCAAAGTCGTCAACTTGGTCTGGTTTCGACGATTTTGGTAGGCCAATTGGATATTCTTCAGAGAAGGACAGGTCATCAAGCTTGAGTACGAAGACTGTCCGAGCAGTCCCGAAAGCCGAGGCCCATCAGGATGTGAAAAACGGAGTACAAAAGTTCAGAGTTAAGCTACTGGCAGAAAGTGGTGGCCAGAGCACCCAAGATGTTCTTTGCCAGGTTCATTTCTTCACAAACACTTGCATTTCAGTTTTCAGTAATTGCACTTCAATTGTGTTTACCTTGCCTGTAGTTGAATAAGCATTGTCTAAGCTCATGGCATGTACAGAGTGCTTTATTATTGTTTTGGTTGCACTTCAATTGCTTTATTTTTCATGTAAGATAGTTGTGAGGTGTAACTTGTAAGAACTAGTTGTAGTGGTTAAAGATGTTGGGCATGTTTTTAGTAAAAAGAAATGACACAAGCTTCATGCTTTAGTGTAATCCGATTATGTTAGATGGATGAGCATGGAACTTGAATTGAATAACACACTAATTGGCAATGCTTTATCCATTTGTATAAGGGCAATGTAAACGCACACACTCCACCTTTCATGTTGTGCCTTGTTTTGGCAAGAAGCATTTTAACTTGGGATTGTAATGTGTGACATCATACAGATTGGATTGGATGGAATTCGGATGCTAGACCCAAGCACCAGTCGGACATTGAGAATATACCCTCTTGATACAATTACAAGATGTGAAGTAAGTTCAACATCCCATTTTTTTTATTCTATTGAGAAATAAAAAGGAGGGTTGTGTTATTACCTCATTAACGACATGGTAGTTGGTACTTTGCTGGCTCCAATTTTACTCTGATAAGTCACTGAAGTGCCTTATATCATGTCTAGGTATTTGATTCATCTACCTTCGCCTTTTGGTCAAAAAGCACCGTAGACATAGAACCAAGGCGTATCAGGCTGAAGTCAAGTAGTTATACCACCAACACCCTCTTAGACACTGTTACAGCTGCTACTATACAGGTACAAAGAAGTTGTACAGAAATTTTATTATTTATTTATTATGGACTTACATATGTTACTCCTTGTCCTTGATGCTTCTCGTTTATTTTCTGTAAACTGGATCGTGGTACTTGTTTGTAGCAAATATAAAATTATGAATTGGTCCACTCAAATATTGCAAAGTTCAAGATGTTTTGGGTGCAATGCATGACATCTTATATAGAGCTTATGCTGAGTACTTGCATTTCTTTTGTGCTGCACAACTGCATATGTGAACCTTCTTATCCTGAATTCTTGTTCTCATTTATTATTATTATTATTATTATTATTATTTTCTTTTATATTTTTTGGTAATGCAGTTTAAGGAGATGGGTGGAAGAAGTAGGCCAGCTGAATCTCATAAGATGGCTGAACAGCCAGCTGAAAAGAAAAAAGCTTTTGCCGATTGGCTTACTGCAATGAAGCCTGTCAATGAGGAGAAAGATCATTGGGTAACTAGATCATCTATTGTTTCTTTTACATATGCCTCATTATTAACGTGATATGTAGACTAGAATAGCAGAAGTGTAGTGAACATTCTAGTCCATTTCCAACCATTTTGTGCAAACTATGATAACAAATATCTAGTGAGAGACAAACTAATTTGTGTTTCCTTCAATTTTCTCCCCCTTCAGTTCTCTTCAAGTTTTTAATCAAAGCATGTTATTCTATTGTGGATGCCTCTTGTTCACTTTTTCAACCGACATTTACAGGTTCCTGATGAAGCAGTAACCAAGTGCACAGGTTGTGGGGCAGACTTTAGTGCTTTCAATCGAAAGGTATGTATCATCCTTATGTTTCATGATTAACTTCCCTAAATATGTCCCCTTCATTAGCCTTCTAAATTCCACCCTTTACCAACACCATCTCCTTCCAAGACCCCATAGAGGCTGGGGAGTGTCTCTAGAATTAAATATGAATGTTCTTTGGCTTATACTTTCAGCATCACTGCCGTAATTGTGGAGATATTTTCTGTGACAAGTGCACTCAAGGAAGAGTTGCATTGACAGCTGATGAAAATGCACCAGTTGTCCGAGTTTGCGAGCGATGCAAGGTGTGTTAGTGTAATTGTGTATATTTAGTGGTTACGTTTTGGTCACATAATTTTCTGCTACTCCTTCCTGCCTGTCCAATAAAATACACACATCAAAGTTACTACCTGAAATTTGTGGAAATGACATATTACAATATTCTATTTCTTTCAGAATGAGGTGTCTCGCAGGTTAAGCAATGCTAAGGAAGCTGCAAGTAGACCTGTGCTGCAGAGTCATGAAGACCTAGCTAAGAAGCTTCAGGTGACTTACAACTATGAATTTTTTAACTTCTTAGTTGTTTATGGAGCTGTCAAAAGGTAACCCACTTTTTAGGTGGGTTGGGCCATGCACTTTTCGGCCCAGCCCGTGTAACCCGACTGTTTCACGGGTTGGCCTGTTTAGCCTAGCTGTTTGTAGAAAGACTTGAACCCATGACCTCTTAATTTAATATTCTTTTATCATTTACTTACAACCAATTAGCCTAATACCACTTACTGTTCATATGTTGTATGATTATATATATGTATATAAATTATTTTCAAACATTATATGTTTTCATAATTACATACGTTATGTTCCATAATTATATATTTGTATAATTCATGAATCATGATCATGTAATTGATTTATTGGTTGACATTTAATAAACAAGCATGATATAAGTTATATATAACATAACGGATAAATAATTATAAATTCAATTATATATATATAGTTAAATTAATCATATTATGTTTACAAGCTTATTTATATGATTAATTATAACTTTATGTAAATATTAATATAATTATATAGTTAACATAAAATTTATTTATTGTATATATTTTATAAACTTTATAAGTTAATTAGAGTTTACATGTGTGTGTGTATGTGACTTATGTGTACTATATATATATATATATATATATATATATATATATATATATTATGGTTATACACACAATTTGATTATAACTTATGTCCGTGTACTGTTCATATATATACTTATTTATGGTTATACACCCAATTTTCTTCAAAAGTACATGTTGTTTAATTGGAATAAAGCTTAATTATTATATGAGAGGTCTAAGGTTCAACTCTTGTCTTATACAAAATTTTTATAACATTAATAAAACAATATATATAAAATGAAAAAGGGGCTGGCGGGCTGGCCCGTTTAGCCCGCCAGCCCGTTGTGTACGGGTTGGGTCATGATCCCCAACCCGTATGGGAAACGGGCCGGGCCGGGTTTGGCCTGTTTTCCCACAGCCCGTGGCGGGCCAGCCCGTTTTGACACCTCTAGTTGTTTAATGTAGTCTCAAACTTGTTATGTTTGGTGTATATTATATTCTGAAACCTTGTTACACATGAGGTAATGCTCAATGCTATAGAGAGTCCTTAAGCCCAATTTCCATTTTCTTAAGCAAAAGATATTTACACATAGATAGTAAGGTGAAAGGTTGTGATAACTAAGTTAAAGTGCTATCTCATATTTCTTCTTCTGTTATCTACTGAATCTTCTGCTATTGACTTAATCTAATGACTATGGTTGTTCCTTTTTCCTTAGGAGGAGATGGAGAGAAACAGCAAGGCATCATCTGGTAAGTGTCAGTGCTGAAATAAATTATAATTGTGTATCTAGCCTCTTGATGAAAATTGTGAGGTTCTTTAGGGGGTGGGTGAGGTGGATCAGCCCCCTGGTGCCGCTGCCTCCCCCCAGGCTGCAATCCACACTCAGAGAGTCAAGGATACTGATTTTGTGTGTCACAATTTGTGCTTTTGCTACTAGAAATTCCTGCGCTCTATCTGGATTACTATATGGATTTGAATCGCTTTTAAAATCATGTTTAGAGTTGATTTCTTCCACTAGTTTTTATTTGAATGAATAATGCATTGCCAAGTACTGTTCTTTTATGACTTAGAAATGTGCTAGGTTAGTTGACTAGAATTTCAGTAAGCTTGTTTATGACCTGCTTATCATATAGACTAGAGAAGAAAGGGAGAGCTCTAAACCTGCAGTTGTACTTAATTTCTTTCTCAGGCTCCAGGTCAGATGGTTTTGGAAGGCGGATGAAAGAGGTGGCCTGCCCTACTTGTACAGTTCATTTGCAGGTTCATGATCTTGTCTATTGCCTGTTGAAAAGTAGTTTTAAATGCTGGAAAACATTCGTGTTCATATAAATGAGTTGTGTTTTTCCACCGTGTATCAGGTTCAAGTCCCAAGCTCCGGTTCAGAGACAATAGAATGCGGGGTTTGCCAACATCCATTCATCGTCAGTGCTCACTGATTTCATACTCTTCAGCGTCGTTGTTCAAACTAGCTTGTGTGATTGTGTTCTCTGTATCGGTGTTGATTTCTGTTCCTATCCTAGTTCTGTTGTATTTGCTGTTTCACAGTTCCCATGAGTTGGTTTATCATACTCAACATTCATACTTTGATCTTCTGGTTTTCAATCTTCCATTTACTTTTATGGGTTTTCTTTCTAATTGTTACAAATTTCTGGTTGGTGATTGGCTGATTGGTATAAATGTAAAATATATGTATGCATTGATATATGTTAGGTGACCATATGTGGGTCTACCTAGCTATTACAGGTTACTTATCTTCATATTAAGTGGACTGAAAATTGCTCACTCCTAATAAATGAAATATACATCAAGTTTGAAATGAATACTCATTGAACTTGATATAGGTAGCAATTAATTTCAGTATATAATGACAAGGGAAAGATGGTTGAACAAACAACCGTACGGATGATGATGGCATTAGTGATAAATGTGGTGTCAAATCAAGAAAAAAATTCAAAAAATTGAACCTGTCCTTTCTTTCATTGCCTCATTTACGCATCTTCTTGATATGTTTTGGTGTAATATAACATTTTAGAAATAAGAAATTGGGAAACGTGATTTCTAAAAATAAAGTTTGAGAATTTTTTTTTAAACAGTCAGTAGTACTAAAAAAAATGTACATTTAAAAAAAGGTTATATATGTTCTATACCTTTTTAATTATTTTCAGTTCAAAGAATTAATGTCCCCATCATCGGGGTTTGATCTTATGATCATTCAATTCGAACGGTAACAGATGTGATTATTGCTTGATAGTGCTAGGAAAATTAGGAAAATTTTGCAATCACATAAAAGAAATAAATTGTAGCTGATAGAGAATATTCCTTGAGTATACCTCCCACTATGTACCGTGTACCAACTCGGTAACCGGTCAAGTCATCGAGAAGAATCATTCCCGACCTTGACTGATCATTAACTTGATATTTTCGACCTAAATGCGACGATCGAGCTAAATCATAATTGCAGTAGTGCTTCGTTATCTTGGAATCAACCTCGACCTGTTTAGGTCAGAACGGTAATCCTGAGCCAAGTTACTTGTGGATTTGGACCTAGGCTTCTAACTTTAACCTGACCACATCCTTCATTGGGTGGTCAAGAATATCGACACACGTGGCTAACGGGCTCTATTCCCGAGCTAGCCGATTACATGTGCGACACGTGTCAGACATGCCGAGAGCCCGACATGTGTCTCCTTTTCCTCGCTATAAATATCGCATTTAATGCTAGAGAGGGGACCTTCTTTTGGCTCTTTCACCTACTAGAATATAGCTCAGGACCCTTTGACCGCATGTCTTAACCCAAGCTCAACCACTTAAACTAACAAGCATATGATAAACTTTTAAGTTTGACTAAGAGAATGTTAACAAGCACCGAACTTGTAGCTTTTAGGTATAAGAATCATGTTTAACTTATTTATTTTAATATCAATATTACTTGAATGTGACATGCATATCATGCATATGCAAAATGATGAAGACTAGAGAAGATATACGTGGTGGTGTCTAAATTATTGGCCGGAGTCATTAACTATTGGTTAGCTGGCCATTGTTTTGTCAAGAGGTTTTCTCTGAAATTAATGAACCTAGCTTCTATCTATCAACTCCCATCAAACATGTGTCTTGCCATTATTTGCTCGTTCAATATGTACTTTATTATAAACAACAATGCATAAAATGGTAATTAATTAAATGGATAATGGATTGGAAAGTAAAAATTTCAGATGAATTTTGGTAGAAAAGAGAGTGAAACCTCTCTCTCTCTCTCACTCATGGATTTCATGAACTTCCTTTATTATAAAGCGCAATCTACATGTCACCATTCAAACCATAGATTAAATATGACCTTTTTAAAAAAAATCAAATTGAATAATTAAAATGGGCAGTGGATTAAATAAGAGTAAATTATTGTTATAATGTTAAAAATTCGATATTATATTGAAGATTAGTGTTAAGTTCCTGTCAACAATTCTATATTAGAGATTACTGTTACATTCCTATCTATCATGTAGTTGTCTCATCTGGACATTGCATGCATATATATATATCACAACCACTGTGGATAGCAACATTAGTCAGAAGCACTTAAAATCTCATTAATGGTGGAGGTTACAAATTTAAATTTAAATGTTCCATTAACTCTTTAAGCAAAGTGAAAAAATATTAATGAAAAAAGTTTCGGCCTTGCTAAAATATGTAAATATATAAATGTTAGTCCAAAACTGCTAGACTTCCAGCAGACATTTTGTTTGATCGAAACTTATTAATAGATTGAGATTGACATTAAAAATCTGCCTATATATACCACTAAACTCCCTTTGCTAAACATGAATACTCAATCAACTTGATTCCAAAACCGCTAGACGTCCAGACATTTTGTTTGATTATATCGAATGGTGCATGCAATAATGTTGTGTCTTCCTCCTCGTATATGTTTACAACGTAGGACTACGGTTTGTTTCGTTGTTGCTGTTCTTCTGTTGTTGTTTGCCTCCGCCGGCGAAGCAAAGATGAAGCTACCTGACGGCGCGGTTGTACCGGCGATTATAGGACTCGGGGATTCCATCATCGATCAAGGCATGAACAACTATATCGCCACGGTGGTTAAGTGCGACTTCCCGCCGTATGGGCAGGACTTCACCGCCGCCGGCCGAATGCCCACCGGCCGCTTTTGCAACGGCAAGACCCCTCCTGATCTAATAGGTAATGCCTTTCTTCAGTTAGTGTTTTCTTTACTGCTAATTAAATGCAACTTAAACTAGACTTTTTTTTACTGGATAAGGTGACGATCAGATTTACTTGGTGCATGCCTTCAAGTAGTAGGACACTATTGTAAAAATTGTGTCTTATCAGTAAAAGATCACAAAGAGATAAACCAGTCTAAATTGTTTTGATTGGCTCAAATCATAATTAAAGACTAATTATTAAATTGTTTCTACTAGAAATTAAACTTGTAACCTTAATTCTGGTGGTTACAAATCAACAATTTGACCAATTTGATTTGAATTGCCCACCATGTGTCCATGTTGTATTTATATGCATATTAGGGTTTGACTGTCACTCTCAACGTTAACCTATAATCATTTCGCAATTCAGCGGAAGAACTAGGAATCAAGGAGCTTGTGCCGGCATATCTGGACCCAAATTTGAAACCCGAAGATCTGAAAACGGGCGTGAGCTTTGCATCCGGAGCCTGTGGATACGACCCTGAAACAGCGGCAATTACAGTAATAATTAACATCCATCGTATTTTACGTTTTCATTAATGTTTTTTAATAATTAATCCCGATCGACAATATTAACTAAAACGAATTAAATTCAGTCAGTTATACCGCTATCGCAACAACTGAACTATTTGAAGGAGTATCTGGGAAAGCTGAAAACTGCGTACGGAGAAAACGAAACAAAGTTCATAACAGACAACGCCATATTCTTTGTGGTCGCCGGCAGCGATGATCTCGCCAACACCTACTTCACCGTCGGACTCCGACGATTGCAGTACGACATTAACTCCTACACTGATCTTGTGGTCGAGGGTGCATCCACCTTCATTCAAGTAGGTTACAGTTAGTTAACTGTCATTTTATCTCTAATAATTCAATTCGATCTGCATGCGCTAATGTGATTGGCTGAGATGATGATAAGTCAAACTTGATATATATTCATTGATTTTCATTAGAAATCATTATCTGGAAACAATTAATTTAAATATCAATTAACATTGTGTAAATTTTTTCTATACTTTCAATCCAATTAAACACGATTTTTTATCTGATCGACTATAATTTGTCATACTTAGGAGGGTAGGAATTCAATCTGTGTTTTAAAAGAGTTTTTGTGTTTGGTTAAATTAAGGAATTATACGAGGTGGGAGCTCGTAGGATTGGGGTTTTCGGGCTGCCACCGATAGGGTGTGTGCCATCACAGAGAACATTGGGAGGAGGCCCAGGAAGAAGTTGTTCAGAGAAAGCCAATGAAGCAGCAAAGCTGGTGAATTCTAAGCTGTCAGCCCAGATTGATTCCCTGTCAAAGACATTACCAAATTCTAAACTGGTTTTAATAGACATCTACGAACCGCTTCTTCGTCTCATCCAAAACCCTAAGCAATATGGTATATATGCTGCGCTTTACCCAGAAAACAAAACATTATATTATTATATTGTTGAAACATTACGGTACGGTATATATAACGAATTGAAGTTAATTTGCAGGTTTCGAGGTAGTTGATAGAGGGTGCTGTGGAACAGGGAAGATAGAAGTTTCGATTTTATGTAATAAATTCTCGGAAACATGTCCAGATCACGACAAGTATTTGTTTTGGGACAGCTACCATCCCACGGAGAAAGGTTACAGGATCCTTGTAAACCAGGTCCTGCAAAAATACATAAACCTCCTTTTGTAGGTCTACAGACACGGGTCTCACAGGCAACTCAGTAGTACATATGGTTGAATCTTGTTATTTATAGTGTGAGAGTTGCACCTAATATAGAAGACTCTTTGTGGACATTAGACAATTGTCGTTTAAGAGCTGAGTGAAGTCTATTAGTGTCCAATTGGACCAAATTATTTATTTTATTATGTTATTTAGATTGTAATTGTTCTTTTAAAAAATAAATAATTTTCTTATTGTAGTAAATTAGTATTGCTTTCAAAGATGGATCCAGAATGGAGGCAGTTGGTTACAACGACATTAATTAAAAAGTAATTACAAATTCAAGTTGGTTATCTTGCCTTATTATGTCGTAATGAGTCATCACCTTTTTGTACTTATTACTGTCTCCGTCCTATTTTACATGTCTTAGGCTAACATATCCCTGCTAATGTAATGTACCCATTTGCAAGATGATTTGACATGTCACATGAATTTCTTTTTTATTTATTTTTATTTTTTATAATTCTATGTGTATAAGTACATAAAAGGCTGTTATTGGGTAGTCTTTTTGTACTTTAATTTTGCAAGGCAGCTTGTGAAATTGTACTTCAATTTTTTTAAAAACGTGCAAACAAATGTAACAACCAAATTCGGGACAAAGGGAGTACTACTTCTTTTGTATGGATTCATGCCTTTATACAATTATACGTGTCTTCTACCTCTGGAACCGCCAGCTGATTCTCTGCTCAATCAGACGGCGTTTGTGCCGCCGTCGATCACCGGAAAGCTGTCGCGGGCGGCTTTCCGTTTCTCTTGAAAGTAAATTAAACATGCAGACAACGAGAAGCATAAAGAAGATCCCAGACAGAGCATGGAATTGAGTGGCGACAAGTACAGGACAGACAACCATTGGTTCTCGTATCAGAGATGGAAAACTTTGGCGAGACCAATTAATGATGTGTTTGAAGATGTTGTATTCCGTCACAAAAGTTAGGGTTAGTTGTTGGGAATAAAGTTAATACAGGCGGTGGTGGCAGTTGATAGGAAGGGAGAATTATGTCATCTGATGATATGGAGGAGAAAGGGATTAATTAGGTTGGACATGGGACCAGAGGGAAGTGGAGTTATATATAGACAGAAAAAGAGAGGATAAGATGACATGGAACCCTTGTTTGCTTCAATAATGAATCTTCAATAATCACGAATCCATCTCATTAGCATGAGTGTAATATTCACAACACGAAATATTCATATTTTTGACTGCCTAAAAATATAAGAAACTGAGAGTTTTCATAGCACAATTATAAAAGTTAACAAGAAACCCGATTTTTCTTGTAAGCTGAAATACTAGACAGGATTTTTGAACCTATAACCTCCCAGATGAAACACTATAGAAAGTAGAAACACATTTCTACCCAAATCTTTTAAGATTAATTGTAATTTTGTTTTGTTTTAATATCTTAACTAATTAGATAAAATTAAATATTGGGTCCTCTAAAATTTGGAACCCTGTGTTGTTGCATAGCTCAAAATTCGATCCTGATGATAACTTACTCTATATATTCTATAAGAGAAACTGATACCCTGCCCGCACGAACTTAATTAACTCAATAATTTAGTAAGTAGTATTTAAGAAAAAGGCCAAGATTCAAACTTTAAACAAAAAATAATATTTTTTAAATAAAATTTAATTAAATTGATCAAACAACAATCTTATAAATAATTTAAACTAATTTACTTTTATATATAAATTTTACTCAAAGCCTACCTTCAAATAAATTATAGATTTTACCCAAATGGAAGGAGATATGCTTTTTGGCCATCTTTGTGGATGTACATCGAAGTGGCAAACCAAGTTGTGCAATTGTGCGTGGTTTTAGCATGGACCCTTTCAAATAAAATACAATATTTAGCTACTTTAACCGACCAATGATTACGTTTTTGAAAAAATCTAGCTACTTTATCTTTTCAATTAGCTAATATTTAATGACGATATACACACGTCAATTCAATTTTTAATTATTTATGATAGAAAAATACTTTTTTAAAAGTAAAAAATGTAATGGATATAAAAGTTAGGTAAATCATGGCATTATAATATAGTTTTAATTTTTGACTGATCTCATAATAACATAGTGGTGGGTGTATACATGTCGGAAATGAGATCAGCCTATTTCGATATTTGTCATTATTGTATACTCTACATATATAAAAATCTAAATAGATCGAATTATTAATTTATTATTGTTAAAGTTAATTATCATATATATATATATATATATATATATATATATATATATATATATATATATATATATATATAGGTTTAAGTTTCAGTGCGGTTGTGCATGAATCTTATGTGCTTAAGATGTGTGAAATTTTGTCCTTAATGTGCGTGAATGTGTAGTGCTCAATGTGCGTGAGTACTGTACCTATGGTGCGTGAGTTGTGTGCTTAATGTGCGTGAGTGCGTATTTAATGTGAATTGATAAAACTTTAAAGTGCATGAGTTCTGTGCTTAAGGTGCGTGAGTTTTGTGCTTAAGGTGCGTGAGTCTAGTGCTTAAGGTGCGTGAGTTTTGTACTTAATGTGCGTGAGTGTGTACTTAATGTGAGTTGTTGTTAAAACTTAAGGTGCGTGTTTTTGTGCTTAAAGTGCATGAATTTTGTGTTTAAGGTGCGTGAGTTTTGTGCTTAAGATGCGTGAGTTTGTGTTCTGAATGTATTTTGTTTGTGTGTTTAATGTGCGTCTGTTGTGTACTTAAAGTGCGCCAGTGTAATGCTTAATGCTTATGGGGGTGTTTGGTACGTAAATAGTTGTTAGTTGTTAGTTGATTGAGTTAGTGAGTTTGACTAGTTAATAACATTAGCTGATTATAAAAAAAGTGTTTGATAAATTAATTGTTAGCTGATAGCTGATTATATACAAAATGATTTTCTCAAAAAGCTGCTTTGACCATCTTTTTGAATTTTAGCATTTTAGAACAATAAATTGTTACAAAAAGCTTATTAATTAAACACTCAGATTGTTTAACTAAGTCAAAACAGTTAAATAAGTCAAAATTAACTATAAGTTAACTATAGTCAAAATTAGCTATAAGTTAACTATGTTAACAAACAGAGCCTATATAAAAACAAAATTATCCTTCACTCGTTGGTGAGTCTGTTGACTAACTAAATTATCCTTCAAAATAGTTTTTCTTACCCTTAATCCACGATATTTATTACGGAGTACTTTTGAATTTTGGTCACTATCGTAAATTTCATATATGAAAACATATCTCAAGAGAAAAAATTAAGAACCAATCTCAACCTTTTATATATGTGTGTGTGTGTATGGGCGCATACTAATATCATTTCTCGATCTAAGATGATTAAATGCTAAAATTTTGGAACAAAATGCATTATTGTCATTTATTCACTAATGGATAAGCGTTCTCAATATACCATCCAATTAATTACATAAATGCTATTGTAATCTTGTATTTTTTTTTCCAATGTTGATCATGTGAGATGGATGGATGATACACACAAATTAATTAAACACGTACACTATCTAGCTAATTTAGTTTTGTAATAAGTTTTCCACAATCAAAGTGTGCCCTTTTTAGCATGGTCCGGATAGTGCGTTTAGCCAACCAATAATCCCTCAACACTGTAATCACATCCCCATTCCTCTCTTGCACCAATCCCACCACGTAAGAAGTTGTAATCAGATCAAACACTCTCCATCTCCTCTCCTTTGCATACTTCCGCAGACCCTTTTCCACACAATCTTCTCCTCCTCCGCCTCCCGCCGCCGCTGCCGCCGCTTTTGAAACAGCTTCCCCGAGGCACCGACCCAGAACCACGCTATCCTCCAGAGCTGAGCAACCGCCTTCTCCGATATCCGGTGTCATTGCATGCAGCGCATCCCCGACCAAGCACACGTTGCCTTTCACGATGTCGCCGAACAGAACGTTCCACGGTGACCGGAAACTCAGACGCGCGCCGGAAATATTTTCCGGCGATGTTCGCTCTACAATGTCGGTTGCCTCTTTGAACCTTTTGGCGGCCTTGTCCAACACAAATTGCTTCATTTTCATCGGATCCTGATCCACTAATGCATCTAAATTAACGGACAACAATAATTAAGTTTTAGTTATATATATATTAGTGAGTTGAAAATAGAAACGGACGGAAAAAGTGGCGGCGGCTTAGGCTTAGGCTTACTTACAGTGAACGTCAGCCGGAGTGAAAGTGCAGAACCAATACAAGCTCTTGTCATCACAGGGGAGAATACCGAGGCGAACGCCACCGCCGAGGTGCAGCCGGAACTTTGCCCCGAAACCACTCCCCTCGGGAAACTCCACGTAGCCTCTAATCGCCGATCGTTTCGCGTCAACCGGCTTCTCAAGTCCCATCCATTTGGCCACCACAGAATTTATTCCGTCCGCCCCTATCACCACCTTCAACATACATGCATGGCATTACATACAACATATACACAATCCACATATCAAATGAGAATATATAGAGTCGTTGGGTATATATAGGAGATTCAAAGGGACACATGCCGGGAGCCCAACATGATCGCCAGGTATCTTTCATGCACTCTGTAGCCGGGTCAGCGGGGAACGTACACATGTCAGGACGCGTTTGACTCATTAGATTGCTTACTGGAATCATGTTTTATATGCCAATCACTTGTGCTCAGGGTCCCGGGCGTACCATGAGGTCGGGACCGAGCACAACAAAGTTAAGGCAGCTGCTCAACAAGCTAACAAGTCAATTATCCAACGGGTCGGCCCACTAAGCATTGCTTTCAGGTCAATTACGATCGAAAAAAAAGGTGCATGTGTCAAGGTGGTTCAAACCCGACCAGGTCCTAAGTACAAGAAGTCTGATCTATAGACCTGGGTATTTTCCCTATCAATATATATATATATATATATATATATATATATATATACCTTGCATTTGATAATGCATCCATCCAAGAGGTGCAGCAATTTGTAGGGTCCTGATTCTTGGATGGAGACAACCTTGGAAGAAAGCCTAATAGTGCCTTGTGGCAGTTCCTTGGCTATGGCTTCTATCATCAAACTTCTCCTCAAACAACGACTGTCGTAATCTTCGCTGTCAACGTATAGTAGAAACCAAATTAATTAAAGGATTTGTGACATCATATATATATAGATCATTGAATATAATATTGTCTGCAACAACAATAATATATATAATCGCCACGACGACACCCAAGTTAAAACCAATTATAACTTACGGCTTTTCATTTGGCTTGAGCGATAGTTCTGCACAAAGTTTGCCAGATTTCACAGAAAACACTTCAAACCTGTAACGTTACACCACGTCACCCAAGTTAAAACCAATTATATTAAGCATTGTTGCAAAAATCGACCACCTAAACCCTAGGCACCCATAAGCCGAGGCGAATTACCTTCTAGGTGCCTAATTTGCTGAGTTAACTCGTTCAATTTGGCTGAGTCTTGTAATTTTTTTTCATTTTATATAGAATATGACATACACCAACACACGTGCACTGTTTGTTTTAGTTAGCCGCCTAAGCGCTAAGGTGCTAAGCGTTACTTTACGACCGGACTAACGTCTACTGCAACCATGCATTAAGCTAACTATAGCTAAGAAGAAGCGATATGATTCAAATTAGTGTTATTAATTACCGACTGAACTGGAGAGACTTTTGTCGTAGAGCATTTCCGACGCCGAGAGCATCGAGTGCCCTCCATGCATTGGTCCAAGTGGCGAGTCCAAAGCCGGTGGTTCTCAGGGAGCCCGATGATTCCAGTACTAAGCTCTTTAGCCCAACCCTATATACACAATCAAATTAAAACAAGCTAGGTTTTTAATTTGGTCCTTCAAGTTAAGTTTCGGTCTGTCCAAAAAGGAATGAAAGAATTGAAAATATAATCATCTTCATACCGGCCAGCCGGCCGGCCTACCTGTGAAGTGCCAAAGATGTAGAGAGACCAGCGATTCCTGCGCCGACAATGACAATAATGCTCTCATTCAGAATCTCCATTTCCGGCCTAGCTAATATTTTTCTGCTCTCATCTCTTCTTTAGTTTGGTTTTTTAAGGATATTTTATTTTATAGGATCAGGAAATGCATTATTTGCCAAACTTTTCTGCATGTACAGCTAAGTAGTACATAAAGTTTCTGAATATGTGGTCCTTTCAGCTGAGATTGTTGACACACGCTACTACAATAAGTGGCAACTTTAGACTATGGTGGGTGGGGAAATTGATCGAGATCGAAATGACTACCTTCTAATTTTAGAATTATTTAATATTTTGGAAGACGTGTAACATTAGGTAAATCATGTAAAATGGTTATCCCACTCATAATATGGTATTTGTCATTTTCTTTACCTGTGATCCAATCAGATTTATTATTAATTTAGTTTTTTATTCATGATGCAATCAAAACTAGTCATAAAAACTATTGTCGATTAGCAATTTTTTTTTTTCACTTACGATCCAATCAAAACTATTATTCTCGATTAGATTTGTTTATGCATGACTCAATTAAAACTAGTAATGATTATAATTGAATCCTCCGTAACAAAACAAATTGACTTTAAACAACAGATCAAAAATGGTCTCATGCTTACTATAACAGTACCTTAACAGAACATATATAAAAATATAAAATTCAATGGTTATCAATATATCATATGGCACGCGAAGAAACCCTGAACTATCATGCTCATATATTTTACTCATGACCTGATCAGAATTATTCTAGATTAGATTCGAATCTCTAACGTGTAACAAAATGAATTAACTTAAACAACAAAAGATCAACCATAGTATCATGCTCACTATCATATAATGCTCACCCAGTCACTGACCAAATTACCCGTAAACAAACAACTGAACTAACAAATGAAAAAGCTGTAAATGAACCAAAATGGCTCACTACAATACAACAGGCGTCCAACTTCCAATAAACATTAGTCTACACATCAATCCTATAGTTAATATGTACTGGCAACACACAACTACTGTGAAACATAGAAGTGAAGTGGAGCAGACACTCTTTAGATAACATAGTTGCAGAATTTCTTCAAGGCTTGGACCAACTAAGCATATCTGGGGCCATTAGATTTGAATCCACCACGACCCCTACCACGGTCTCCCCTCCCACGTGCACGCCCTACACCAACAAACCATCCATAATAAGAATACTAGGTTTTATACTTGTATGCATCCATCCCATAATAGTAATGAGAGAAGAATTAAGAAAATCGGTCTCCTAGCTATCTAACTTCTTTAATTTTAATATTATATGCCCTTTTGTCAAGCAAAATTACAGCCACTAAAGAGGTTCACTCAAGCTAAAGGAACAAGAATTACATAAAGCATCAAACTTTCAATGTAACATTGTCATAGCTTTACACATTCATTGCAAGGCTCAATTAGATATCCACCAATAAGTGGGACAAAAATTATTGAAAACGTTGGGCAGAGCGACTTCAGGTTAATCATGTATGCAACTTCTGAATGCATGCATTGCACGAAAGACCATTATAGGAGAAAAAGCAGTATCTATGTAGGATATGCAGTACCTTGACCCTGTGCAGGAGCCTCATAATTGTAGCCACCATCTCGCTGTGTATCAAATTGCGGACCATTGTAACCTCCTCTTCCATGTCCACGGAAATTACGACCTCTACCTCGACCCTGAGCAGCTGCCTCATAATTGTAGCCACCATCTTGCTGTGTATCAAACTGTGGACCATTGTAACCTCCTCTACCACGTCCATGGAAATTATGACCTCCACCTTGACCCTGAGCCTCATACTCATAGCCACCATCTTGTCTTGTATCAAGATTTGGGCCATTGTAACCTCCTCTTCCGCGTCCACGGAAATTGTGACCTCTACCTCGGCCCTGAGCAGGTTCGTCATAATCATATCCACCATCTTGCTGCATATCAAACTGCGGGTCATTGTAACCTCCTCTTCCACGTCCACGGAAATTACGACCTCTACCTCGAGCATGAGCAGGTTCCCAATAATCATAGCCACCATCTTGCTGTGTATCAAACTGTGGGTCATTGTAACCTCCTCTTCCACGTCCACGGAAATTGCGACTTCTACCTCGACCCTGAGCTACAGGTTCCTCATAATCATAGCCACCATCTTGCTGTGTATCAAACTGTGGGTCATTGTAAGCTCCTCTTCCACGTCCACGGAAATTGCGACTTCTACCTCGACCCTGATCTACAGGTTCCTCATAATCATAGCCACCATCTTGCTGTGTGTCAAACTGAGGACCATTGTAACCTCCTCTTCCACGTCCACGTCCACGTCCACGGAAATTACCACCTCTTCCTCGACCCCTTCTGCTGTAGCTACGATTTCTATCATATCCTCCATCATCATACTCAACATCCAAATAACCATTTCCTTGCAAAAGATGCAAAAAGTATCATAAAGAACAAAGTAACAAAAATAAAATTAAGATCCGCTCATAGTCCTGATCAACACAATTCAAACTACATACTAGATCTTATTCTAGCCTTTGAAACTGCTATTTCAAAAGCAATAACTCATTAAATAATTCGAATAATTAAGTAGACAAAATGTAATGCACTTCTCATTCGAATAATTAAGTAGACAAAATGTAATGCAATAACTCAATTGATACTTTATATATTTTTACTAATAAGTCCCATTAATAGCTAACGACCGGAATTCATACCAGATACAACTCTAGGCCTTCCCCTTCCTCTACCACCTTGTCGGCCTCTTCCACGACCAGTAGGAGATCTCTCTAAAAATAGAACAAAAGATGTAAATGTTATTACAATTAAATGTGTTAAGAATAGTCACCTTATTGGGAAAAAAGGAGACAACTACCTTCATAATCAATCTCTGTATACACTTTAACCTGGTCTGTAGGTATGGGCACCTGATACCTGCAGAAAATAGAGAGAATAAGGGTGTATGTAACAATTTCCAAGATTCACTTGCTTGAAACCTTCTTTACTTTAATATTGCTATTTAATATTATTTTAAGTTTTTTTTTAAAAGTAAAATAAAATAAAATAAGCACAACAACAACAACCAGAAGGATATATCAAGTTCTAGATCACCTGAAACTTATAAAACTCACCCAACATCTTTTGTATCCAGCTCATTCTTTGAGAGAGTAATTGTAATCATTGAAACATGTCTGGTGGTTTCCAAACTGCAAACATAACCAACACAACCGAAAACCATAAATTTCAAGAAGGTATTGGATATGCAGCATAGCGTATAATTGATTTTCAGATGCTCTTACGGTAGGAGGCCTTCTTCTAAGGGCTCCCATGTATCTGTGATGTCAGTGGATGTAATAGAAGTAATCTGGTGAAGACCAACAACTCTTCTCTATAACAGAAAAATGAAACAACATAATCAGAAACCAAAGTTAGAATACTATAAAAGAATGTACGAAAATCAAGGTAACGAAAACCTTAATAAGCTCCACAATGGTAACAGTTTTGTTGATTGCTCTGCCCATTGCCTTGAAAACAATCTTGTCGGGTTCTTTTTCCTACACATAAATCACTGTACATGCATAAAATCGATCTGGAGAACAAGCATTACCAAGCAATGATGACAAAATTTTGTAAATGTAGAGTTTCTACACAAATTTACAGGTACACATTATACTGATAAATGCTCATTTGAAAGAATAATTATAAGAAAACAAATACATTCCCATCCATAGTTTACTTTATTACTTTGAAATTTGTGATGGTTCCAGATATCCAAGACGTGTGGTAACAGGTACCATTCTGTAAATCCAGATGGTTATGTGGAAACAGAATACAATCCATTTTCATCTCTCAATATACTTCCTCCCAATTTCCTCTTCTATTCTGTTTACTCAGTGATTGAAAACTGAAATAAACAAGCAACCTTTTCAACAACATCACTGAAAAACTCAAAATCAAACATGCATTAACCTTCTTAGTGAAAGTAAAATGCACAGATGTAAGGGAAAATACCAGCAAAAACTAAATAAAAGTAATACCAAGTAATCCACATAAATGTCAGTAGAAAACAAGTGTAATACCTGAAGTATACTCATGGCATAACTGATATAGTTTCGCATCCTTCCCTGGCTGGTAATCCGAATCTCATTCTCATCAATGGCTGTCTCTACCCTCGGCTTCTCCACCCTTTGGTACCGATCCATCTATGCACCACCACAGAGTTAGCTTGAAAACCTTTCAGTTCAAAGATTAGAATCCCTAATCTTCACAAAATCAAATCTCCAATGAAAGAACACACTTCAAACCTCACCAATTTATTGAAACTAAAATCAAATTTTCGACCATACTCGAGATAGGGTTTTCCTTACGCTGGGATATTACTGTGTCGATAACCAAAATTGAAGTGCTGAGGGATGAGATTGACGTTACCTTTGGCTTGCAATAAGGAACCGACAGTCCGAAGCCCTCTTCCTCTTCCTCGCCTTCGTTTCTGCGTTCACGCTCTGACCCGCTTCACTGCCGCTTAGAAGATTGTCTGAAGTCCTTAACTACCTTCAACCGGTTTAACCGGCAAGGATTTTTTTTTTTTTTTTTTTTTTTTTTTTTTTTCGTTTAAAGCAGATTATGAATTTCCTTGTAGTGAGATGGTTGAATTAATGGATTATAATACTTGTTATAACTACAGAAATTTATAATTAAACTTTTTAATTAATATAAAAGTAAATATATAATTAGGAATTAAATCGAAGTTCAAAATTTAAATAACATGATAACAAATATGACTCTATACTGTTTGATGGTGTGCACGGAATAAACATTACTCATGTATAATAATTCATGTGTAACTGACTCGTTTGAGAGAGTGTAACACAAAAATCATACTTCACTGAGTTCACTCATTTGGTCATTTTCCTTAAAATGCATGATAATTTTTTGTCTTCCATTAACAAAATAATTAAACTGACGTTAACTATAATGGTATTTTTATATTTTTGATACAGAATTTATATTTTAATTTTTTTTTAATATTAGTATTAGAAAAATCCCTAATTTCAATTTCTTCCGCACCGCAACCTCCTACTTTCGCACCACACCGCAGCCTCCAACTGTCGCCGCACCGCCTCGCCGCAGCACCAGGCAGTAGTAGTGTCCAACTGCCGCACCACCTTCGCACAGTAATAATGGATGAAAGGCAAAATGCTGACAACATATAGGTACAGTTTAATATTTGTATTGCTTTTTTCAAGCAATATTGAATAGTTTGGCAATGCTTTTTTCACTACAAATATTGCTGACAACATAGGTACTGTTTAATATTTGTATTGCTTTTTTCAAGCAATATTGAAAATTGAATTATGCTATTAATGAGTGCGTGACCAGTGTATATGATTTTTTGAATATGTAGAAAAAAAAAATTCATCTTGTATTGTTTTATTACCAAGAAAAAAGTGAGATTTTCAGTGGTTTATTGACGAAAGATAAAAAATTGTTATGTCACAATAAACTATGACCAATATAAGATGTTTTGAAAAAAAAAAAGACTAAAGCCATGTTTGGTAAATGGTTGTTAGCTATTAACTGATTGGGTTGATTAGGGGGTATAACTAGTTGATAACATTAGCTTATTGTAGAAAGGTGTTTGGTAAATTAGCTGTTAGCTGATAGCTGTTTGGTATAATTTCTTTTTTCAAAAAGTTCATTGAAAAAATTGTTTTGAGTAGCTTTTTGAATTTTAACATTTTAAAGTTACAAAAAGTTAATTAACCAAACATTTATCTTGATTTTTTAACTAAGTCAAACATTTAATAGTGATCAAATAAGCCAAAATTGACCTATAGGCCAACTATTTTATCAAACATGGCCTAAAAGTGGAATGATACATATAAATATATGACCTAGAAAGGACTAAAAGTGGAATGACACATATAAATATAGGACCAAAAAATGAATTAACACTTAAAACTAAATGAACTGAAATACCCTCATAATTAACACCAGTTTAATGTTTTTGTTAACGGATGACCAAAAATGGTCATGCCACAATAAAACTAGGGATGTTTTAAAAGAAAAAAAAAAAAGAAAAAAAAAAACTAAAAGTGAAATGACACATATAAATTTAAAATTAAAAATGAAATTAATTCCATTTTAATGTATCAAAAGCAAATCACTATATAAAATACTCCGTATTATAATTAAAATTAGTGTACACGAAGTAAACACTATTATTGTGCAATAACTTATTTGTGACAAACTCGATAAAAAGAGTGTTATATAAAAATCATTTTGCATTCACTTGCCCACTTCTTACAAGATTCACGGCTAATATTTTAATGGATCAAAAGCAAATCGCTATATAAAGTATTATGAGTATAATTAAATTAGTTCTGCAAATTGTCTTGTGTATATTCCTTTTGGAAGCTGTTAAACAAGCAACATCAACAGCAAAACCGCATGGTTAGCATCCTAGTATAATGCTAAAAGGATAGTTCCAAACTTCAGTACGTGTCTTTTAAATAAGAGTAATTTTAATTTTTTTTTTAATTTACAGTGTTGAATGCCTGAATGGTAAGAAGTGGACTTACTTGATATATATGTCAATTAATATATTAATTTAGAATTTCATAATTTAGTTTTCAAAATAACGACTTGAACCTGGCATTTTAATCTCCATAGTCCAAATTTCACATAAATAAATGAAATTAAACGCTTTGAATCATCACATAAGTCTTACAATTGTACCATTGATCTTAGGTAGTGGAATAAGTGATCCAAAATACTTTAAATTTTCTGACTTTAACTTGGTTTTATAAATATATATATATATATATATATATATATATATATATATATATATATATATATATATATATAGTAGTTATCAAATATAATAATATCTACAATTGTAATAAGAGCGAATATGCCCTTAACTGGAACAAAAAAATGTCGGTCCTATTGTTTCTTAAAATGAATGGTTCATATTATTTTCATTTTAGTATTTTTTATTGATTTTCCTTATTTACCCTCTATTATATTATTTTCTTCCCTTAAATAACTTAAATTCCGTTAGCATAAACTTTAGTAACGGAATATTCCATTATTATTTTAACTTACACATTAATTTCTATAAGACAAGTCTTAGTTTCGAACCACATTCCAATTAGAGTTGGCATAATTGTTAAACATATACTACGAATATGTTAAAATATATTTAAAATATATATAATATAAAATTTAACATAAACTTTGTTCAAATTAGTCTGACTAAATACATAACATTCAAAGTTAAGCATCAAAGATTATAAATCAAGAATTTTAAAAATCATTTGATTTTTATGCATTTAAAAGAAAAACATATTTAGGTTAAGTTTTTTTTTTTTTTTTTTTGGATTTAATTAATTCTTCTTTTGATTATTTAGATTAGAAAAAAACTTAATATTTGAATTATACTTTTGCATTATTGGTATGATTTAGGTCGTTATGGTATTCATATTTTTTGTATGTATTTTTATAATGGTACAATTATTGTACATCACTTTACAAATATTATACTATTATTTTTTTATCGGACAAAATTGTTCTTACATCTTTGTTAGGCCTACGCGACCTAACTACAAAATTGTTGATCATAAATACAATTACACCTGGACTCTAAAACGGTAGGATCATTTTCTAACGAATGAAAATGCTGACATCCCGCTGGCTCTAATTGAACAAGTTTAGACATCAGAATTTTATCAATGCATGAAAACTTCTAAAGAAATTTGTAAGTTAATTTTTACCATATTATTATAACAATATCAATTGTAACTATATATTTTAAATTATTTATTATATCCTATATTGACAGGAATTGTAACAATTGTCATTGACACACTCTAAAAACAATTTGTCTCAACAACGAATGTAAATTAAAAAAAAAAAAATCAATGATTGCGTTATTCTTGATGAAAAGTATGTATGTCACTTTATTACTATTATTAAACTAAATAAAGTAGTAGCTACAACAAAAAATAATACATATGCATTTAATTAATTTAGAATTAGAGGTCTATAATGCCTTTATTTAAAAAAAAAAAATCTTCATTATAAAAAAATTAAAAATAGATATAATTTCATTAGTTATATTATCTTTATTTTCTACAATTCAAAGATTCATTACCTTCAAATTTATTAATTTATTATATTCACGGCATTGTCCATTGTCTTCTTTTTACATTATCTTGTAATTAAATATCAAAGTTATAATACAAAATACATTATATATATTTATTTACCAAGTATTTTATACAAATATAATAAATATTAATATTTTGTTCAATACTTTCACATGATAACCTACAACACACATCTCACAATGCATGAAACATGTAGGGGAAAACTATCACTACCAAATATCGATTAGAAAATTCAATAAATATTATCTTGCATTTATATATTTTGAATTACCGATTTAAATAAACAAATTCAATTTACATATGCATGAACATCTCCAATATAATATTGGGTTGATATACTTTGAAATACTTATTTAAAAATAATAATTGGACATTATCCCATTCGCGCAAAGCGCGTAAAAAAAACTAGTACTATTATATAAAACATCATTTTGTATATAACTGCATAGAGTATATATGTTATAATCAGAACTCGATCACATTTAGATAGAGCTATGAATTCTCCAAATCAAAGCTAAGGAATATATATGCCATATATATAGAGAGAGAGAGTGTGGTTACTCTCACGCAATTAACTTAAGGAAATAAAACATAACGCAGTAAGCTAGCAATGAGTTTAATTAATTAAGTAGTTTGTCTAGCAGAGGAGCAGTAGCAGTGAAGTTCGTTTACGGTGAGATAGAGTGACGGAAACTGATTCTTCCATAGATGAATAAACCACTGGCACCGGCGAGGGTTGGTGGTGTTAGCTAGGCGAACAGTAAAGGATCAATGATGGATTTCCATTTCTTGTAGTCTAAGGTAGAGCCATCATCAGGCAACGGAAAACCATTCACGAAGAAGAAAGGCGTCCCATAAACACCCTTCACACAACCATACTGTCAAATAACAAACCAATCCAAACATCAAATTCATGCCCCAAAATCATATTGCACTCTGTTAATCTGTAAATACTGTAATCACCGATCGAACATCGATCATCATGTTTAACGTAATTACCTTGAAGGATATTCTTGTCGCGTGATCAGTTTTGGTGTCGGTAAACCCAGATTTCAGTTGAGTGTACGAGGAACCCCCGACTGTTTTAGCTGCAAATTTTGCTACTTTATCTACAACAGACGCTCTCGACAAGTTGAAAGTCGCTTTCCCGTAGAATCCCTCCTGAACATACAGTACACTACAGTTAATTCATTCATGGTACCTTAAATTTATCGAATAGAATCTAATCGGTTTGGTACGGTAGTGTTGATTCTCTCACCTGGTGGTGGAAGAAAGATTCCAGCAACTGAAAAGTGGCTGAAGAATTCAAACCGTTGACCACATGCAACGCTCGGGAACAAACGAATGCATTGTCATGGTAACTGCAACACAACCACACATACTATAAATAAATCACTATAAAGAAGAACCAAATTAAATAAATTTATTAAACCTACGGCAAAGCGAAGGGGTGGACGACGAGGGAGACACGGGAGCCGTAGTTAGAGAGAGCTTGCTTCAGCGGCGGCCACGAGTCTCTGCTGTCGGGACAAACAGGGTCAAAGAATGCTTCAATCACTACGGAATCAACCCCGGCGACTCTTTCCTCGTACCAGAACCCATCCTGCCTTGTCGGAATCGGAACCTGACCGTAACCCGCCGGAACGAACGTCAACACAATAAATCCTAACACCAACCCAAACCCAAAAACCGTCATCATCTTCGGACGCACCTCCATCACCTCGGAATAAACAAAGAAAACAAATGAATCTTTAATTTTACAGATAAAAAGGAAAAGGTGCTGCCTTTAACGTAAAGTAGTCATCTTTAATTATCAATTTCCGCTAAAACAACAAACAAAGCCAAGCTAAGCTAACCACCCCAAAATCACGTGACGATTATGATCGACGATAAGATATATGAACTGAGGCCCGGCCCGGCCCGCACTGGCACTTTCATATTAGTCACTTTAAAAACAACATTACATCCACTTTTGTTGTTGTTTTCTAGCTTTTGTTTGGGGCATAATAATCGAAACACTGAGAATACAGTAGTGTGGAAATACTATACAGAAAGCAAGAGCACTACAGTGACTGTGGGGCCCAAAACCGTAAGCCTGTCAAATATATAGCATCAAATCACCAGCGACCAAACCCACTCGCCATTGCATAAGGTTAAAATAAATCCCCATGAAGATAAGGAACAGATATATCAACATTTTCTAACACAAATCTGGGCATAGTGCAAAGCTGACAGCGCCGATCAAAGCATTTAAATAGGGTATTTATATAACCCAATCTTATTTAACATTCATATCTCACCACCTACTCTGAATCTCTGATCTATTTTATTTTTGGAAACAATCAGTTTGTAACATCAATCTCGTATTATATTTAAGGTAGACTTTCACGAAACTAAATAATATCGTACTCGCATGGTGTTAGGGATATAAAGTTGGATTAGAATTTGATGCTTCACTCAAACAAGGACTGAGTGGATTAGCCACAATATGAATAGTGGGGTTGGTTGACCCACTAGAAATTGGACCAATAGTATAAATGCTTTATATTTTTGTGTTTTTCTTCTACTTTTTAGGGGTAAGTAGAACTAAAAGTACTAATATGATGTATTAAGAAAAATAAAAATTTGGGAAAAATCTTAACCAAGTTGGTCCGATAGCTAGCTTAATAACAAGAAGCTAAGTTTTCAAGTTCGTGCATCGTCCTAGTTTATCTGATCTATTTGTGGTTCTTTTGCTGTGATTAAAGTTATAAGAATGATGGCGTACTTCACCAAAGCGCACCTAATTTACTTTATCGCGCAATTTAGCTAAACTCACAAGACAAACTTCATATACAATGTACTTTCAAATAGCAATAGCGACTCTTTCTATAAATAGTAAATCTGATCTCACTCAAAATTAATATCTCTCAAGACATCGTGATTATGTTTTATATTTCCAAAATTTAAGATTATCGCCAAAGAAATGCACATACTAATAATTTCACAATATACATTGATGTAGACTCATTACATCTAGTCTATTCTAGACCAAAAAGCAGAAGATAATAATTGTTTTGAGGTGGGGTGGGGTGGGGGTTACGTTCTTATCATTTACTAACTATTGGTAATGAGCTTAAGAATGCCTTGGTGGCAGCTAAATAGACCTTTCAAACAGGAAGAAAAGCAAAGGCTGAAAAGCACACCAATTAATTCCCAACAAAGAGCCAAAGATGCCCAGAGACAGACCCCATTTGCAGCCCACAGACCCTTCAATCCCGTAAACCACAAGGCAGACATACTTTAATTCTGCAGTTTTGCACGGAATTGAATTCCACTTACCCCTATAACACTACAAACTCGAACCAATTTAATGTGATTATCGAATATATATATTTTGTAATCAATCATTAAATTAAACATTCGTTAAGGAGGGTTCATCGGTGCCGTGTTTTCTTCCCTGACATTCAAGAAACACGTTACACGCCATCTTCAATTCTTAAAGCTGGAAGGCCATTTTATTGTTGTTCGGAGATAGATGTTTTGATGTTTTTTGTTTTTATCTCTTTCTTTACCTTTCCCAATGCGAATGTAAGGGCCGTTACTCCCCAATAAAAAGCCACGTCACCCTCGCAATACTTAATACCCCACCACCTCATCATCAATCAAACAAACTCCGTTTGGCCGCTTCCTACGTTTCGTACGGGAGGCCTCTAAATCTAATCTCCAATTCCCTGTTCATCCAAACATGTCCTTGTTGCCAGCTATTCATAATTCATAAATCGTCGTATATAAGTCTCCGGTTTAAGAAGTTTAACTCTAATAAAGCCACCATGCGAAAAATGGTGTGAGCTATCTACGGCCGCTATACTCCAAAACGTACTCCGTCCCTACCGCCTTTTCCGCTAGCAAAAATACGGCGGCGCCCGCAGTTTTCTCTGCGTTCGACAAAAACAATGTTGTTCTCCGTGTTTCTCGCCCTCTTTCTGCCATGCGTCGGCATGTCCGTAGTGCTGGTGGTCTACTTCTGCTTGCTCTGGTACGCCGCCACATACAACGCCGGCGGCGGCGGAAACGGCCAGTACGCGGTGAAGAGCACTCAGCAGACGGGTCTCTCCGCCACGCAGCTGGAGAAGCTGCCGAAAATCACCGGGAAGGATTTGGTTCTGGGGAACGATTGCGCTGTTTGCTTGGACAATATCGGGAGCGACGAACCGGCTCGGCTGGTCCCCGGTTGCAACCACGGGTTCCATTTAGAATGCGCCGATACGTGGCTGGCAAAGCACCCGGTTTGCCCGATTTGCAGAACCAAGCTCGGACCGGAGCTCTTCGACCCGCCGGAAACTAACCCCTGCTGAGCTGACGGGTTTCAGTTCCTGTGGGCTGTGGATAAGTTTCAGGTTATGGGTAGTCCTATTTTCTTTATCTTTTATCTTTATTTCCGTTACTAGGAAACAAAAACCAAAAAAAAAAAAAAAAAAAACAGTAAAAGAAAAAAGACAAGAAGATTTCGAGGGAGGAACACATTTTTGCTTGGAATTTTCTTTCTTTCTTGTAAATTTGTTGATTTTAAAAATTCTTTAATAGGCATAGTAGTATATTAAGGTTTTGGATGGCATGCTGCCTGATGCATGCGGGTATGTTCTATAATAATACACTGATAAATGCTCCTGCCAAAAACAAAAAAAAAAAAAAAAAAAAAAAAAAAAAAAAACATAACATAAGGAATTTTTAAGGCATTGATCGATCGGCACATATACTTTTTATATCAAATATAATCAAACTAAATTATACTCAGCATTTGATACTGTGATTGAAAAATTGTATAATTACGAAAGAATGTTATGATTGATTGGTTAATGTATATGGATGGAAGGGACATAAAAAAAAAAAAGTTGTTGATAGAAATTTTTCATTTCAAAATAAGGTGGGGACAAGGCATGATTAAGAATATAAATTATATATATTTGAAAATTATTGTCAATTATTACCATGGGAATTTACCAGTTACAAAGAAAGAGCATTGGGCATGGTAAAGAACGAATATAATGCATGGGCCTTGCTGGAAAATAACTGGCCGTATGCAAAGATCAGATACTTGTGATAGAATGCATGATTTAAAGTTAGGATGATAAATTACATCTATACATTTTCAGATAATTTGCATGATTTTATCACGATTCAAAATTTGGTAAATAATTGTTAGCTCATTGGGTTGGTAAATAATTGTTAGCTAATTGGGTTAATATTTTTACAATTATGAAACTAATTTGGATTCAATTTAAATCACATTGAGAGAGTTTAATTTCATAATAAACAACAACATAAGCAAGTGATTTGAAACATCATTTTTACGGCATATATAGGCTTCGAGTTTGACTTCTTTATTAAGAAAAAGAAAAAGCTGAATTCCAGGACATGCATACAACATGTATACTTTGAAAGCTGGAAAGTGGATGGCAAACTAAAAAGATTTGGTTCCGAGGAACGATTGTGCGTGGTTTGCTTAGAATATATACAACATGGTATTTTTAACAACGTTATTCTTCAACCTTTCACTCAAAATAACCTAAATTAAAGTGTAACCCGCAATTTTACTTTTAAACCCACAATATACAGATGCATTTAAAGTAAGTTGTAAGCCACAATTTAATTATTTAATTATTTAATTATTTAATTATTTAATTATTAAAGCCCATTATGATTGGTATTTAGCCTAGGGATACTAGGGAAGGCTGGGAGTCGGTGGTTGTGCACCCTTATTACAAAAATCATTCTCCGATGTGAAATTTGTAGTCACGAAATACCAAGAATTGAGTCTCACCAGTAACAGAAGGAGCTCTTTGTGTGCAGTGAACAAAAGTCTAGCATGCATCTATTGGTCAATTGATCGATTTATTCCTCCATAAATTGTCGGGTCAGAGTGTGAAGGCACTGGGTGGGCAATTTCATTTTTTGTCACAAGAATCATTCATCAATCTAGCTTGTAGTCGCATTAAATGCCCGTTCACTAACTATCCCAAGTTATTGTTATTTAGCATGGGGTATTACCCTACAAAAATCAAGCCTTTAGACTTACAATTACATTAACAGTTCGCTTACCAACTATCTCAAGTTATTAGTATTCGGCCTAGTGATACTAGAAAAGGTTATAGGCACCCATGGTACCCACCCTTATAAGAGTCAATCCTTCAACTTTACAATTGCACTAATGATTCGTTTTCCTGACTAATTTGGATTTATTTGTTATCATAATTTGAAATAAAACATTATAGTATTTGCGATGAAACACAGCTTGTGAAGATCACCCAAGATTTTATTGCAATTGGCTCTCCAATAAGTAGGGTTGCGGCAAACCAAATAAATTAAAAGATGCTAGATTTTCATGATAGGAAAGGATAGGCCAATATAAATGTACTTAGAAAGTTAGTACTGTTCTCAACATTATTAATGCTCACAAAATAAAGATGCATATGCCGGCCTAAAGATATTTCGAGATTAGTTGAATGTAATAATTAATTAATTAATTAATTAATTAATTAATAATTATTACTTTAATTTGGTGCTTCGTTAACTCTCGTCCTCCCAAGCATAGTAGCAAGCTTAGCTTTTTGACTGAGCTCAGACCATTTCTTTTTCCATATTATTATATTAACGTTTAATTTCGTTCCCTGCTTTCTTGCAAAGTCAAAGAAACTGTAGCGAGGGTAGGGAAAGTGGCTGAGAAAATGTGAAAAATTGGGCATAATCATTTTCAACTTGGTACATACTTAGATTCTATATATGATGACCACATATTATATTGTAACAGATTTAGTAGTACTAAAAAAGATTATATATATATATAATAGTGTTGAAGTTAATATATTAATTACTACACGTTAACAAAATATCAGTTCAAACTCAAATTGAATGTGGTGAAAGATTTTAGAGTCTTAGAGTACTCTTAAAAAAATTAGTATGCTTAGCTTGACCTATTTTTATTTGGAACACCCGATTGACCTACATGACCACTGATCGATCTTGAGGACATGTAGAATTTATTACACTAATAACCTCATTTATGATGAGAATTACCTTTAGACATAAATTTTTGTCTTATTGAAACTATTGCAACGATTAGTGTCGTTGTGTATGACTCATATGTCTAAGAGGACATATGCTTTCACGCTCTTTTGTTTGTATGAATATTGTTGTTTGTTGAGTCAGAATTAAATGTGAATGGACTCTTTGGTCTAAGACACCACGTGAAATGCAAAAGGAAAATTAGCTAGTTTTGGTTCAAAGAACGTAACGCAACATTGATACCAACCAGACATGTTTCTCCTTTAAAAATTAAAAGTATACCTTGGGAAAGAGACTTGTGTTTAGGTATTCATTGTACGGTGTCGTTTGGGCGGTTAACGAACCGAACATAAACGAACGAAGGTTGTTCGTGTTCGTTTGTTAAGAATTTTGGGGTGTTCGTGTTCGTGTTCGTTTGTTAAGGTTTTTGAAAATTCTGTTCGTGTTCGTTTGTTAAGCATTCATTAGTGTTTGTTAACGTTCGCGAACACGTTCACGAACGTGTTCGTTTACGTTAACGAACATGTTCGCGAACGTGTTTGTCAATGTTTGCGAACACGTTCATGAACGTGTTCGTTAATGTTAACAAACATGTTCACAAACATGTTCGTTAACAAACACGTTCACGAACATGTTGGTTTACGTTCATGAGCACGTTCGTAAACCTTTAATAACCAAACACCTGCACATGTTCATGATTACAATTCGTTCGTGAACAAGCAATAATCTACGTTCATGTTCGCGAACATTATTAAACGAACACTAAACGAGCTTGTTCACGAACATTATTAAACGAACACAAACGAGCTTGTTCACGAACATTAATAAATGAACACAAACGAGCTTGTTCACAAACATTATTAAACAAACAGAAACGAATTTGTTCACGATCTCTTAGCAAACGAGCATACAACTGTTCAAGCTCTATTCGTTTATTAACTGAGCTCTAATTTTTGTTTGTTAATGGTTCATTTACTCTAACAAACGAGCATAAACGAACGCTTACCGAACACGAACACGAGTATTTTGCCGAAAGCTCTGTTCGCTAACACCCCTAAGTGTCGTGTTGAGTTTTTTTTTTTTGTTTTTTTTTTTCATGAAAAATAAAAGTTATATCATATGTATTAATACTTTTATTTTTATTTTTACTTCACACAAATAAACATTTTTATTAAAATCAACCAATAAATGTAAATTAAATGTTCAAGACTTATGTAAGACCATCAAATGGGATCGCTTGTAATAGGTCAATAGAAAACATGTCAGACATAGATGACCTACTCTTTTAGCTGGTCAGGGCATCTCTAACCAAGGAGAAAGAGAGATGAGAAATTTGTTGGAGGGAAGAAGAATTTAATCTCCGAATAAAAGACACAAAACGCGACATGCGCCACACATATGTGCAGATGGTGGGGGGCAGGTTGTCCCCAACAATCTGGGCAAATTATGTTGTGTATCCGAATACACCAAGCATGGTGCATACGGATGCAAAAACGACGCCGTTTTTATAAAACGCGCGTCTCCCCTTAAAAAAAAAAAATTAGGTTCGAAACTATAATTCCATAATCCATGAACTATAATTCCATAATTGATGAACTATAATTTCATAATCTAATCTATGAACTAAAATTTTCAGAATGAATGAATTAAAATTCCAGAATCTATGAACTAAAATTTCAGAATCGATGAACTATAATTCCAGAATCGATGAACTATAGTTCCATAATCGATGAACTATAATTCCATAATCCATGAACTAAAATTCCATAATGAATGAACAAAATAATGTTGTTACAAGGAATCGAACCTGAATTTTTTTTTTAAAGGGGAGACGCGCGTTTTTAATAAAACGACGTCGTTTTTGCATCTGTATGCACCATGGTGCATACAGATGCACAGCATAACTATTCAACAATCTGCTATATAGTATTTTTTAAAAAATATTATTATTGTCGATGCCCTTATAACTTTGTAAACCCAATTTATATACAAATTGGCTTAATACAGGTCTAATTATCTTGGGACCTTCAGCCTGAAGGTCCCAAGCTTCAAGTCCCTCAGAGCTCAGGCGTATCAAAAAATTAAAATAAAAAAAATGCAGGTGGAGTTGAAACTATTGACAACCAATTCACTTTTGAAATGGGTTAAACAGGCGAACCCGAGTTTTGAAATTAATATTGATCTTCATCCTCCCTTGAATTGCATAAACATCATTATCCACGGTAACAAAAGCTGCTATGCGTGGCCCAATATCCCTCCCAAGTTCAAGACACTATACAATTCAATCATTATTGTGTGAACCATATTTTGTATATTGTAAAATAATGTACATTTAATACAAAAATAATGTACATTTAGTGTGTTAAAAATATTTATTCAGAGAATGTATTTATTTAAATACTGAAAGTATATTATTTTATATAATATATATTCAGTACACGAATAATATATATTTAGTATATTAAAAATGTACTTTTTGTTTTGATCCACTATTGTGTGTGAACCATAGTCTACACAATAAATTGCCCGATGCAATCTAAACAAAACCAAAAGCTTGGCCCAGCTAGGAATATTCATGCTCCAAACTGGGCCACAAATTAAATTTTACACGGCCCATTCTCACCCCCAATCAATTTTTATGTTGTGAAACCGTATTCACCTTGTAAGGTGGACACAGTTCTATATTCATAATTACTGAACTATATGTTCATAATTATAAAGTTATATATTTATAATTTTTGAACTTCATATTTATAATTATTGAACTTTATATTCACAATTACAGAACTTTATGTTCATAATTAATGAATTATATGTTCATAATTATAAAGCTATATATTCATAATTTTTGAACTTCATATTCATAATTATTGAATCTCTATATATTCATAATTACATAACTCTATGTTCATAATTATAGAACTATATATTCATAATTATGAACAGTTTTGAAATGATGAATACGGTTCCACAGCATAATTTGCCACACCCAAACAACACGTCATTTAAAAGATTAATAGATGTTCATAATCGGCTGCTTATGATGAAACACCAATTGTTATGTCGTGGAACTGAATCCACCTTGTAAAGTGGACACGATTTTATGTTCATAATTACCGAACTCTATGTTCATAATTATAAAACTATATGTTCATAATTTTTGAACTTCATATTCACAATTATTAAACTCTATATTCTCAATTATAGAATTCTATGTTCATAATTACTGAACTTTATATTCATAATTTTTGAATTTCATATTCACAATTATTGAACTTTATATTCACAATTACAGAACTCTATGTTCATAATTATAGAATTCTATATTCATAATTATAAAACTCTATATTCATAATTTTTAAACTTTATACTCATAATTATGACAATTTTGAAACTGTGTCTACCTTATAAGGTGGAACATACATGATTCCACAGCATAATTTGCCGATGACCCATCTCATCTAAGGTTGCATGTGTATGACAAACCTTTTAAGAGCGTCCGTCTTCTACTTGCATTCGATATTGTCAAGGTGCATTGGTTTCGGTCCTTGTAGTTCATATATAAAAATGTTATAGTCTAATAGATTAGAATGTTCACTTATCATCCTCCCGACGGGCTCACCCACATCCTGGATCGCGATGCGAATGGCGTAGCTACGAGACGTGTTATTTAGTTCCCTTGGGGCCTTGGCCCCTTCCCTCTACCAAAAAAAAAGAATGTTCACTTAAGACTAGTGACTCAATTTACCTATTTATAGGCATAAACACGTTTTTGAAGTCCATGATATATATGACCGATAATATAGTCATATAGATCGATGAAATCGAAAAACTCAGTTATCCAAAAGAAGAAAACTTTGATTAGGCAATAGGCAGCTAATTATGGAGTGAGACAGGTGTCATGGCACAAGAACTATTGCGAGTGAAATCCGCAGTTGGTGGGACCTGGGTTGGTAGAACTACTTGGGAACAGCATGTAATTTTAAGGTGAGAAGCAAAGTTTGAGGATACAAAGAGAGACAAGTGTCCTATGAATAATTGATGGTCGTTCGGCCTTTAACGACAGCACGGGTCTCTCGACCTCGAATCTCTCTCTCTCTCTCTCTATCATCAAAACTCAGAAGTGAAGTTTTAACAGAAAAAGGAAGCAACCCGCCGGACGTCGGATAGATTCAATTCCCACTACATCTTCCACCCTTCACGTGGCGCACTTACGCACAATCTTGACTAGCTTGTCCCATGAGTCAACTGTCCGAGGTACAACTGACATTATTATAGAAGACAAAAGGTAGACTTATAACATATGTAACAAGACAAGAGGCGCTAGGTGTATGGTCCATAACGAATAGACTAGGTTGCCATGACTAAATTAAGGCGTGCGAGACGAATGTACACCTACGTGTAACATCTACATTCGAGGTCTTATATTTATACTTTGAATATTATTCATGGACTCCTTTCTTACCCTATAATTTTTCAAACTTATCTCATCAATTCTTCCATTTTGAGTTATGATTGATATCACCCCTACTCTAACCTGCCCCTTCTTATGCTGGAACTGAAAGTAGTGAAGACACTGAAGGGCATGTTTAGTATGAGGCGGCGGCAGGAGGAGGAAGGGGCGGCGGATGAAGGCAAAGTGGCGGTGACGGTGGCTTCACCCGCCGCCGCCAAATATGAGTCTCTTCTTGCTTCCAAGTATCCTTATAACTTTCTCCTATTCCCTACTGGAACTAAGGTAGCTTTTTAACCTAAGATTCTATATTATATTCCACCATTAAATCGCTCCATATTGAAGTGAGTGTTAGTTGTATGCAGGTTAAAGTTTCTGAGCTTGAAAACAAAGTTATAGGCATTTATTTTTCGGCTAACTGGCACCCACCATGTATAAAGTTTACGCAAGTGTTGTCGGATGTGTACGCTAAACTTAAGAGCAGAAATGCTGGGTTTGAGGTGGTGTTCGTGTCGTCCGATGAAGATGTTCATGCTTTTGACGCATACCGAGCGTCCATGCCGTGGCCTGCGATTCAGTTTTCTGATCTGGAGAGGAGGAAAGAGCTAAACCGGAGGTTCGGGATTGAAGGTATTCCCGCCCTGATTCTAATACAACCTAATAACCATGAAAATGATGCAGTTGTGCATAACGGAGTTGAGGTCATATACCGCCATGGAATGGAAGCTTTTCCGTTCACCAAAGAGAGGTTGGAGGAGTTGCACAAGGAAGAGAAGGAGAAGCATGAAAAGCAGACGTTGAAAGATTTGTTAACACATCGTGACAGAGATTTTGTTTTGGGCCACTCCATACTGCAAGAACAAGTAAGTGTTAATTGGGCCGGATTTAGAGGGTGTTCGGTAAATAATTATTAACTTATTGAGTTAGTTGTTTTGATTAGTTGATAGCATCATAGCATGGTTGAAAAAATTGGGGGAGCGCCTAGCGGGGATTAATCAACCCCTAATCGCTTGTGTATTTTTTGTTTTTTAAAAATTTATTTATTTATTTTAAACTTGATAATTATAAATTATTTAATACTTTAATAGTTACTACGAAAATATTATATATTAGGCTAAAAAACATAACAATTTAGGGTTATTTCATTCAAAACAATTTCATTTTTTGAGTGAAATAATTCATTTTAGAAAGTAGGGAACAATAGTTAATCGATTAATTAGGTGACTTAATCGTTGCCTAGACTTAGTCGGGCCGCCTAGACCAGGTGATACGCTAGTTGGTCTGGCAGCCCTTACGGCATAGGCCGGATTTTTATAACACTGGTTGATAGTATTAACTGATTGTAAAAAAATGTTTGGTAAATTAGTTATTAGCTCATAGATGATTACATACAAAATGACTTCTCTTGTTTAACCTGAATGAGTAATTAAAAGCTTGATTTTTCTAAATTTATATGCAGGTGCCTGTTGATTCATTAACTGGTAAAACGGTGGGGCTATATTTCTCAGCAAAGTGGTGCCACCCGGAACAGAAATTCACGCCAAAGCTAATATCAGTGTACCAAAAGATTAAGCAGGAGACCGAAAACAATGGTGGCGGCGCCTGCGGCGGTTTTGAGGTGGTGTTTGTGTCGAGCGACCGTGACCACAAGACATTCGACGCGTACTTCGGGACAATGCCATGGCTAGCACTTCCATTTAATGACCCGACAAACAAGGACTTAACAAAGTACTTCGACATTACAGAGATTCCCAGCCTGGTGATTCTGGGACCGGACGGCAAAACCGTGACAAAACTAGGGAGGAAACTGATAAACTTGTATGAAGAAAAGGCGTATCCGTTTACGCGAGGCAGGGTGGAGTTGCTGGAGAAGAAGATGGATGAAGAAGCGAAAAGTCTGCCGGAATCTGAGTTTCATGTGGGGCACCGGCACGAGCTGAGTTTGGTGTCGGAAGGGAACGGCGGCGGAGCTTTCATCTGTTGTGACTGTGATGAACAGGGGTACGGCTGGGCTTACTTGTGCCTCCGGTGTGGCTATGAAGTGCACCCTAAATGTGTGAAAACTATCATGGAATCAAATAAGAGTTAATTGGCTTGCCTGGTTTTAGCAATTCTGATCTACAGATCATGAAGTTCCTGTTTAAAGTGATCGATGATAATAGAATAAAGAAGCAAAAACTTGTCATTTCCTAAAGATTTTGTTGAGAGTAGAAGTGAAAATACTTTGTGAATTCTGAAACAGATCGACTAAAAGCATACTAGAGATAAACCAGCTTAGGTTGTCGTGGTCTGCTTACTTGAACCCAGAAGTCAAGTCAACAACTAACTTAGATGGGTTTTGCATATTTTCCATTCATTTCATTATTGAATCTGAGCAATAGGATGCAGTGGAGAGAAGAATAGAATGAATCTTGATTTACAGTAAAAAAGGAAAGATGCTTTAATTAGCAGCTGATGTGAAATTTTACTACTTTTAGCCCACAACCAACAAATAAAATCTCAAGTCATCAACCACACAACAAAACCCAAACCAAAAGCATTTATCCCACGTTGCACCATCACGGCATCACCTCCACATTCCTTTCGTGAATTTGAGCTGTCGATGGAATGAAGAAAACAATGAATCTTACTTTACAATAAAAAAGAAAGATGCTCTTTGCCTATAAAGGAGTCATGTAAAATTCACAAAAAGTAATCCCACAAACTAACGGAGGTCACAAGTTCAAACTTCAATGTGACATTGAACAGATACTACATTGTAACACAGTTAATAGTACTAAAAAAAAAGAAAAAAAAAAAACCTCACAAACAACAAAAGCATTTTTTTTTAGTATTGCAAAAAGTTACTAGGAATAAAACCATAATAACATACTTGTGTTACACCAATACAATCAATAGCCAAGATAAGTTAGTTACTACAAGGTGGAATCTCCACAATAAAACTGACTACTTTATATATATCAAAAGATAATTAGAATAAATTACACTCCATGTGAATGTTGTGTCACATCACATCAAATAAGTAATGAATAATCCTCATCGTATGATATGACAATCCAACAAAAGAATAGCCATTACTGCAAAATGCATGTATGAGAAAGATTCTGCCAATAGCATTTTGGTAAGGTTACTTGAGTGCGGTGTTTTCTCCATTGACATTCATTAAACACAGTCATCTTCCCGCAACAAAATTGAAAAAGTTTTTATTTTCCATTTCCATGCCAATCTACCATTGCCTTGCTGCCTGCACTGCCTCCCCAATCACAGTATACAGGGCCCCCCATTTAACTCCAACTCTTACCATGCGAAATGTAGTGAATTATGCTCTACATAATCCAAAACTCCCTCTTTCCGTATAGAAGTTCATAGCAGTGTTTCTCTCATATAAAAGCTCCGGCGAAGCCTTCCAAATCGATAACAATAAACCAAAGAATGGGGCAGTGGGTGTTACTCGCTCTCTTTCTACCATGCGCCAGCATGTCCGCAGTGTTTATAGTCTACTTCTGCTCATTCTGGTACGCCGTCACCTATCGGGCCGGCGATGATGCTGACCAGGAGGTGGTGAAAAACAGCCGGCAGAAGGGTCTATCTGCCACGCAGCTTAACAAGCTTCCAAGAATCACAGGCAAGGATTTGGTCCTGGGGAATGATTGTGCTGTTTGTTTGGAAGATATAGGGAGCGACAAACCTGTTCGGTTGATTCCGGGTTGCAACCATGGCTTCCATGTAGAATGCGCGGATGCGTGGCTGGCCAACCACCCGGACTGCCCTCTCTGCAGATCAAAGCTGGATCCGGAACTCTTTGAAACTAACCCCTGCTAAGCTCTCTATTTTGTATGATCACGAGTCATGACTAAATGACTGTTTGGCAAAGCTTATTTAAGAGTTTATAGCTTATTTTAAGCAACTAATAAGCTATAAGCTCTAAACAAACATAGTCGTTATCAGTCTTCCTGTATTTAGCTTACTACCACATCTAGGTTATTGTTTATGCCCTTCCACTCAGGTGCTAAAAGAGAATGGAGAAATGGAAAGGGAATTCTAAATACTTGGATTAAATGTGGATTTTTAGATATTGACATTACAGCCTAAAACATTTTTGAAAAAAATAAAATTCTGACATTCTAAGTTAAATATCAGCCCTGGTGTCTCCCAAAGTTAAACTTCACCTGTACAACATAGCGTGTCCTAATTTGCTCCACATTGTAAACTATATACTCATTGTACAACAAGCTACCCTGCAAGAAAGATTGCAACATTTAGTTAGTAATGACAACTGAATATATTCTTACAAATGATGAAATAATCCTCACAGCACCAAAGGTGTGGAATGCTAGGGGGAGTATACAAAGCCTTGATATACAACAAGGAAAAGGAGGAAAATTAAAATAGTGTAGGGTACCTTTATGCCTGGCTGCTCTTTAGGGGTTCCACAGGGAACAACAACGCCATCTTCGAGTGTACAAGCCTCTGAAATATCTGGAGCAGTGGCACCAACTCCTTTGGTACTGGAAATGTTTATTGTTAAAGAGTCAAAACAAAATCACAGTAGCTACAAATTTCATCAGAAATTTAATTTTACACATTTAGAAGGGGGGAAAGAAAGTGCATCTGGGAGATTGGGTATTGCATATTTCAACTATCAACTGTGACTATTCATATATATTGTGTTATAAACCAACTAAACCAGACCAGGTTGCTGCAGCATAACTTGAAAACGAGTAAAGGGAACATAAACCATCATTGCCAAACTTGAAATCGGAAGAACATAATTGGAATAAACTGCTTAACCATATAGTTCTTTTGAGTTGAAATAAAAAATGGTAGGGAATTTTGGGGGGTGTTTGAATCAGACTCAAGTGTTAGCTGAAGATGAGAAGAATGAAACCTTAGCTTCCCCTTTGGTAATTTGTCAGCATTATAGTTTGCTGTAAGCAGCTCATTCATTTCTCCAAGAGCAACCTGAAAAGAAAAACACGCAGGGTCACATTATTGCAAAATCTCCAATAAATAGACATTGACTCCTCCCCTTAATTCAAAACCAAGGACCAGATATAGACAGAAATACATAAGATTGATTGTTTTATAAATCTATATAATGGTTCCTATGCTTTGTTTAGGAAGAAATGAATCATAGAAAAAGGCCCAACCTCACATAAAAGTAACACACCATCCCCAGCAGTAGGGCTTGTATAGCAATAATTTGCACTCTTAGAGAACATATCAGCAAAATAAACTCCTTTCCCAAACATGTAACCAGTTGCAGGGGCTTCTGGAGGAGCAATACGTAAACCTGGTGTTGTACACACAAGGCAACAATCAGTCAACCACTCATTGAGTGGATTCAAACTTCATAATAACAAAGAAAAAGACATGTGAACAACCTTGGGACAGAATACCAATCCAGTTGGATAGTCGAGAACCATGCCACAAAAGCATCCTGTTTCTTGTGTTGGAGAACTATTTTAAAGGAAGGCAGTGGCAGTAGAATTCTAAATAAATTAGAAACAACTAAACAAAGAACCAAAATAATAATAATAATAATAATAATAATAATAATAACAACAGCAAAAGTGAGTGGAATATCCAATGCCAAATATGTTCCTTCACCTTCTGAAATCGTTCTTCTTCACCATCTCTGGCCACCCTGAATATATGAACAATATCCACATTATAACTTGAATGTGTCTTCGCATGTGTATTCTTCATATATTTCTCAACCTGAGCAAAAGAATATTTTCTCACCTTTAGCAGGCCACACAAATAAATGAAGTCATAACTGTTGTTTCGAACAGCAAAGAACTCAGCAAATATATCAAACTGTTGTTCCAAACAAAGTAAGAATAGAAGGAAATCAAGCACACTGAATTAATACCATTAGATACTCTTTAGTGCCAACATCAACTGGAGTCATTTGACAATGTAGCTGCTGATAATGATAATATAAGGGATCATCCTACAAGAAATTGAAAACATGAGTTACAGTGCATAAAAATACAAAGCAGCTTAATGAGAGGTCTAATGTTCACTTGTGAAAAAACACACACACATGCTTCCTCCCTCATTTCTGTAATCATTCAAAAATTGGAATTGTCTGAAAGAGAAAACTATAATAATGGACTGCTTAAGATCAAGAAAAATAGGTAGCCAAGTAAACTGAGGATATAAATATTATGGGACTCTCTATCTCTCTTGCTCAACAGACAGAATAAAGGACAAACCAATAATTGGTATGTAATTAGCTTTGAAAGGTAAATAAAGAAGTACCTGTAACTCAGTTGGGTCCTCCAGCAACTTAGTGGCAACCTCAATTAATCCAAGAGATTCAACCTTTCATTTCCAAGGAGTGGTGCACCAAATCAATTAAATGGATTAAGTCAATAAATGGGACAACAGAGGTATTACCTGCTGGCCACTTAATAATATCACTAAAAAAAGCCACAAAGCATTCAGCAGTTTTTAGCACAGCTTTAGTGACAGAGGAACAAGGAAACTTTACAATCCTACATCTCATTATCCAGCTAAATCCTTCTTTTGAAACATTAGGAACTTCACATGGGACATATCACATGTGCCCCAAAAAAAAATAAAAAATTGATGCATGAGAAAACCTTTTTGTTCTATAATGATGTATGAGAAAGATGACAACTTTTCTTGACCATATGAGTATATGACCATTATATGTGAATCGAGTTAGGATTTAGGAATGAATTAAAAGCCTTCGCAAAATCCAATCATTGAATAGTAAATGCACAGCTATGGAAATATGTGTGTGTCCAGGTGTGTTTGCACATGCATGCGTGTGTAAAATTATATTTAACTAAGAAAAATAGAAATTACCATTTCCAATTTGCGTTTCAACTTCTGAGGGGTATCAATGGTAAACTCACCTGTCATCATAGACATCACCCATTTAACCAGAAAATCCTTCAACACAATAAAATGTTCTATATTTTATGATCATTAGGTGGTAGCAACTTGTTCCAAATTGAGAGTGCATAAAATATTACAGAGAAACTGTTGCAATATGTTGCTATTACCCAATGGAATGATTAGTGTATGTGCAGATGGCCTAAATTCCTAAAATTATAGGTAGAAAATTTTGGAATATGTTGCTATTACCCAATGGAGTAATGCTGTAAGTACAGATAGAAGAGAGGCATGCCTGAACAATAAGGAATAAGGACTTACACATCTTTTTGTAGCCAAAGTCATGAGGAATGACAGTGTAGAATTCACTGCAATTTAGTACTAATGAAGTATTAGCAAATAATAATCAGGTAACTTCTCTAACTCAAAAGTTAAATTTCAGTGATTATTAAGAGAATTAGAAACATGCAAGGATATATCAATAAATTTAATATCTATTAAAGAAAATTAAATCAAACCACAGCCAATTCCTGTGAAAATCCACAGTTTAACATTTTACCTGCTTAAATTTTCAAGCATCTTTCTATCTGATTGGTTAATCACATCAGCAATCCTCTTCAAGACGTCATAGCCCTAAAAAATGCAGCCATTTTCAGTTGTCGTGAGCAAAGTTCCTTATCCTCAATGATTAATGAAACATGGAAAGAATAAATGCATGCAACATGTCATAGCTAATATTTTTACACTGGCAGAATGGCAGTAGTAAATATAACACTCCATATCACAGTAACAAATTCGACAACACAGAGAATACAACATCAATGAACAACTCATGTACTAACCTTTGAAATTGTTGATTTGCTCAGCTTGCCTAGGGGCAACTTGTCAGCATTAAATCCTATATAACACAACAAGAAATTAAATAAAAACATATAAAGTATCCGAAAAAGAGTCTGCAACTGTCAACAGTGGTTAAGTTCATAATGAATACTGATGAACATGATGATAATCAAAAGATCATAGTAATCATACTTAATAATCTAAAGCATCCTATGGTACCACTAGTCATGTAATGAAAATTGGTATATATGCTATTTTGAAAAAAAAAAAAAAAAAAAAAAAAAAAAAAACATATTTACATATAAAACATAGCACAATAGAAAGCCAACCTATTTCCATCATTTGTTGCTTCATCATGCTAACATTGCAAATAAGAGAAATGAACTTGGCAATTTGTCCTTCCAGTTTTGTTTCACGGGGTTGATTTTTCATTAAAGAGTTTGGCTCTCCTGAAACCTGTTGGAATTGTAATCTCAGCCTCAGAAACAGTTGGACTCAAAACTAAAAAGTGTCTGACATGGCAATAATAACAAGTGAATTGACATTCATGTAATAAGAACAAAAACACCAAAGATGTTTCACAAGTGCAATATATCGAAATTGAATACTGGTAATGCATGCATCAGTGTACAGCTATTAACTTCATAGAACTCACTGATGAATCTTCTCCATTTTGACTGTAGTCCATTTCCAACCAAGTATATTTCCCTGGGTAGCAAACAAAGTCCTTACGGTTGGGCCAATGATTCTTAGTTTTATCATAGAACTTGCTCTCAAATTCATGAATTGCATCATGTTGAGATGTATAGGGGCCAAAGACCTTTGTTCCACCCTTGGCACCAACTCTGCCCCATCTGTTGTAGACTAGGAATTTCCCACCACCATCAAATTCTGCAATATTTGTTGTGAACTGATCAGTTTGCAAAAATCAAAATTACAGACTTTAATAACTTTTTGTCTTCTCAATAGCTCCACTAACGGCGTGTGGTGCATTTGGGAATAAACCAAGTCATAAACCCCTTTCATCAACCTCAGTCCAACCAGTTTTCTTATTTTAGTTTTTAGAGGAAAGAAAACTCCATAGAATGAACTGAACAGCTCTACAATTTTATGGTACACTATAAACTTTAAACTTGCAATTTTGCTGCAAAAAGTTAAAAAGATATACTAACCTAAAGCTTGAATAACATAGTACTTGTTATTGTTCTGTCCAACATTTGTCTGGTTCAGCATTGCATCATAAATTTCATCCCCCTGCAAATCAACAGAAGCCTAGATACATAAATTACAAAAAAGGTGGAACTACAAAGTGATGGTTCCAATTAGGGGTGTAAATGAGTAAAGTGAAATGTTCAGGCTTGGCCCTGACTTGACAAATACTCATATTTGATTTAGTTACTATCAAGCTAAACTCAAGAATAAATATGAGCCAAGCATAATTACACTAATACTTAATTCACGAGCCTAATAGAGATTTTATATTTTTTAAATATATTTTATATTTAAGATAAATCAATAATGATATGTTATGAAGAAATTTTCTTGTACTGCAGTGACATAAATTTTCATTTATATAATATAATAAGTTGGAGTTTTAATTTTCATTTTCTTCAAATGAGGGAAAATGTCTGATAAATGTGTTTACTTATAATTTTACCATATTATGTTTATCTATTTACAAAAATAACCCTAATAAAAAACTAGTATTTGATAGCTATTAGTGAAGCTCAATCTCTAAAAATAGAGTTTGACCAAGCTCAAGCTGAGCTTTGGATTGTGAGCCTTGCCAAGCTTTGAGCTTGCAATGCTCAAGCTTGGCATGGCTTGGATTGACTACATGCCTGGTTCTGGTAAAAAGGATATGCTTTAACACTCTAGAAAAGGAAGAAACAACAAATTCCCGAATGATAAGCACTTACACACTGCAGAAGATGGTAATTTGCCTTGATGTCATCAGGAAGCCATTGATCTAAAACAGCTGCACCTTTCTTTGTTAATGTGACCAATTTCTCTTCCTTAACTTCTTCAACTACACCAAAATCAAATGAAGACAATAAATATAATCATTGATCATATACAGGCATTTGAGCAAGATAACTCTTCGCAGCAAACAATAACAGAAAAATTTGTTAGATTATTTAAATGGCAACAGAGAATTTTTTTTTTTAACAAAAATACAATGTTGAACACTGACCACTCACTTACATGTACATCAACTTTCTCTTGGCATATGTTTGTTGAAGTTATCAAATGTGTAAAAAAAATAAATAAATACACACACACACACACTTTTATTTTCGGTATATTTGAATTCAAGAAACATTATGTCTATATAGAAGAAATATATATTACAGAGCAATAGAAAACATAGAGAGACAACAAATAAGTGCAAATAGACCTAGGCTAGAAAGGCAAATAGGAATAACCCATGTGAGCGAGCCTGATAAGTGATCTTACAGATAAAAGGATTAACCCAGTGAAATGTATACCTTCAATAACGTCCTGTAATTTACCGTTATCTGAACCATCATCAACGATAGAAGAAAGCCTCTCAACTAGTTCTTTCTTCGACCCGCTAGTTGAAATCCCACGACGGCTTGCTTCTTCCCTCAGTTGCTTAACAGTCATGCTCCTCAGTTCCTCTGTTACCTTGACTTTATTCTTCTCAGTGTCTTCATTCTCCGAACCATCCCTCTGCCTTTTCCGATTATTGCCGTTTCCCCGAGCACCGTTTGAACTAGTGGACTGACGGTTGCTCTCTTCCTGGATAGCTTCTTCCAGCCTTCGCACCTGCAAATGTTTCAGATTCAATGCCCAAACAGTGATAATGTGATATAGAAGGAAAGAGATGGGAAGCGGTTACCACTTACCAGTGTGGGCTTGGTGCCGGTTGTGTCAAGGCCGCGTTTAGCCAGCTCTGCACGAAGCTCGTCGACTTTGAATTTGCTCGCCATTGCTGAAGAGAAACAATAATCTGTCGCCTCTGAAGCTTTTCACTTTTCAATTTGGGTTTTTGGAGGGCTTTGAATGGGGTTTTATCGAACTAGTACGAGAAACTTCCAAGGGAAGAGACTCTGTTTCATTGTGCAGAGCACGATTTTGCGCGGGCCTTTTATACTCTTGGTGCTACATATACTACCCGGTCAAGGTGCTCCATTAATCCATATTTAAAATTTAAAATTTTGTCAATTTTAGATTATTGTCAACCTCTTTTGAGTGTAGTCTTGGTAAATAACTAGTAGCTGATTGGGTTGGTAATTTTAACACGTTGATAGTATTAATTAATTATTATAAAAAATGTTAGATAAATTAACACTTATTACATGCAAATAACTTTCTCAACAAGTTGATCAAAAAAAATTACTTTAAAAACTAATTAATCAAACACTTATATTGATTGTTTAACCAAGTTAAATAATTAATAGTGGTCAAATAAGTCTAAATTGGTTAAAGCTAACTATATTACCATACAGAGCCAAAGTGTTTTTGTAGACTATTACAAATTAGTCTCATTTTGTATCAATGTCACACACACCCCATTATGGTAGAAGAGTTTTCAGTTCTTAAAACCCACTTAATAAAGCCAATAAAATTATACCATATTGCATTTAATCCATTCTGCTTGCAATTGTTACACATGTTGTAACACACAGAATGATAGAATTCATTACTGAAACAATTTATTAAACTTTTAATTTCTTCATCATTTCAAGAAGGGGAGGAGAGTTCAGGCGGCTCGCAGGTTGTTTCTTCGTCAAAAGAAACAAGATCTTTTTTTTCCATAATTATTGATATCAAATAGTCACAAACATCTGTCCTTTCACATAGTCACTATAATATAGTCACTATAAGTAGAAAAAGTCAAACTTCGTTCAGACCACTCAACCATCAACAACTGTATTCATTCACTCAAACTGGCAAGTTCAGAGACGAGAGCATGCATCTTCATCAGCAATACCACATCATCCCGAGTTGCTTGGGGGCTTTTCTTTTGGATGTTTTGATCCATAATGATCCACAAGCTGATTCTGGTTAGCTAGTTGTGCCTGAAAACCACAATCTTCCATCAACTTTTACAGATTCAATTAAAGATACATGGAAGGGTTGCAACTCTAGAACAATTTGGATTATGTATTGCCAAACAAAATGGAAAAAGAACCACATCAAATGTGCATCTTTTTCACTATATGGAAAGCTCACAATAGCCCAATTTCAGATAGTGAGGCATATTCTAGTTTTTCCAAGCTATGTGCACTCAGTCACAGTCTAGGAAGCGAGCTATCCTAGTTAAACCTATGCAACACAAGTATGGCGATAACAGATGGCATTTTCCCTTCAACGACACTCCAACAACCACAAAGCTAGTGCTGGTAATTAATAATAGCTAGAAAATTAAAGAGGAAATAGACCCAGCAGTATGGAATGGCTATAGAATGGTTAGAATCTGCCATGGCGAAACCCCGGTGGCATCCAGTCCAAATAGAAGTTTCAACCACCATACAAGTTCACAGGAAAGTTGTATTTAGTGTTCAGTACTCCTACAAATTGTCTGCTAGAAAGTGGATGTATCTATCCATTTTAAAACATTCTTTCTAAAGAGCTGCAAATTTTAACTATAAAATGGAGTATGGTAAAATAGCCTGCATGATGCTGAATTACAGCTAATCCAAAACCTGTTTCTATTTGGTTCAAGACGTTCTTCTTTAGCTTCTCAACTTGATGCTAATTTCCACTAATTTTAGTTCAAATGGTATGTGGCAAACTGATCTTTACTTTTTTCCAGTTCTGCAAAGTAGTTCGCTAAAAATCGCTAGTTTAGGCCAACATAAATAAATTACTTTCTGCATATTAATCATGAGAGGGAAGAAGGAGTTGCAATCAAGTAAACCATTTCTATAAGCCTCCAAAAACAGTGATACAGAAAATTCTCAAAAAGCAAACGTGAGTTCACCTCAATCTACAAAGGGAAAGGTCCAACAGATAAAACTAATCGGCAAGAGAATAGTACGAAGGTACAGAAAATTCACAAAAAACATAAAGGAGTATACTCCATATTTCGATAAACGATGTTCAATTCCACCCAAAAAAATGCAAATAAACAGACAAAATCAAACAAGACAATAGAAGCATCACACAATCCGGATCTGAAATTGAATTTATGCTAATCAAATTATCCAACGGATAAACCTAATCGGCAAGAGAAGAGTAAGAAGGAAGGCGAATACCTTGCAGATGGGGCAGATGACTTTGAGGCCAACAGCTCGGGCTTCGATCTGAGACCCTTTGCCCTTCTGATTCTTCTCCGCGTTTTTTCTCTGCGCTTCGATCTTTTGCTTTCCCCTTGTCATCTCTCTCACGTTCTCGCCACAGCTTCGCTCCTACCGTCAAATCTTCAGGCTCGCAGCGCAGCGGTGCAAGTCAAACTCTGCGTAATACCGAATGTGCGATTACCAGGAAAATGTGGTATGGTGAACCACCCGCCTCCGTTTAGTTTCACTTCGGGACAAATTAATACATTAATTTTGATTAACGCTCAACATATATCAACACACCTCTGAAGTCTAAAGTTCTAAATTTCGATTTTCAAAGCAAATAATAACTATTACTAATGCCTTTCAAAATTTAATATATTAATGCGAAAGAGTAAAACAAAACATATCAAGTTACTCTAATATATTGCTTTCAAAAAAAAAAAGTTACTATAATATTATTAACTGATAAAATTATTTTTAAATCACATTTACACTATTTTTACCCACATTCATATGCATTGTCATTAAGTCGATACATATATTTGCTTATATGTATAATTTAAATATAATACATTTAATCAAACTCATTTATCTCTCATATAACTTTATTAATATGATGGTGGTGGTGGTGATTTGGTGTGAATTTTTTGTATTTATTCCATTAAATATCATTTAAGTTACCATTAAAGAGTTACTCCCAATTTCTTTATTTGAAATAAATAATACTAAAAATATTAGTATTTTGGTTTGGTAAGGCACTTGCATTAGCAGAAAATCTACTATACTAATAAGAGCCCAAGAGAGTTAGGCCTATAATAAGTAGAAAAAATGGCAGTCAATTTCTTTAATCAAATGAATGGCTCAGATTGATCAGATTTTAATTTTTTCTTAAGATTTTCTAATTTATCCTTAATGAATATGATTTTTCGTTAACTTTTTCGTTAATTTCTGTTAGTTCACCGTTAATTTACTTATTGATTTCAATAAGAAAGGTCTTAGGTTCGAATCCCATCCCAATCAAAGTTGATATAATTAGTACTCTATTTTACTCTTATTAAATTAACTAGTTTTTTACGCGCATTGCGCGATTGGGATAATGCCCAATGTTTGTTTTTTTAAAAAAAAAAAAATAATAAGTACTTTAAAGTATATTAAGGCAAGATTATATTGAAATTGTTCATGCATAGATAATTGAAGGTTGAATTTGCGTATTTAAATAGGTAATTCTTCTCCCAAAGGTTGAGTCCCCAACCCCAAGGGTCCCCACACTCCGACCCGACAGAGCATTGTGGAAAGTTGTAAATCACGGTGACTCAATGATTTAGCAGACAGGACCAAATGCCGGTGCGCACAAGCAATCTGCCCACTTTGGACATATTCCCGCACTGTCGCCGCCGAGGTTCAAACCTTGGTCTCTTCTCCCAAATACTGCCCACTAAATTAACCATTGAGCTAAGCCCGTGCGGGTTAAATAGGTAATTCTAAGTTTACAAATGCAAGATAATATAGTCAAGATTGATTATAATTGTCAATACAATAATTGTATATGTATGGTTGAAACCAAATACGGGACATAAGGGAGAACAAATAAAAATTAGGACATAAAATATTAAATATATACTAATATTGTTTGAGGAGATTTCGACATTAGGATTTGTGGTTAAGTTTTATTAAGACTTTAATATTAGAATTAGATTGATGGTGTAGTTATAATTCTATATTAGACTTTAATATTAGAATTAGACTAACGGTGAATTAACGGTATTTAACGAAAAAGTTAAATGGATAATCATATAATTAAGGATAAATTAGAAAAAAATTAAAACCTGAACAATCTGAACCATTCATTTGATTTAATAATTTGGCGGTCATTTTTTCTACCCAATGTTAATAATTAAATAAATTCGTTAGTCAAATCCGCTAATATAATTCGCTAACGCTAACCGCTAACTGCTGATTGTCAAACAATGACATTGTAAGGTAGTTCTCACTTCAATTTGTTGTGTGATTTGAATACTCTCTTTGTCACAAAATCTCTCTAGTTAATATGGTTGGCTTTATTAATTATATTTTTTTTTAATTTTTTCATGGTATTAATAAAATACTTGGTAAATAAATATATAGCATTATTTTGTATTATAACTTTGATATTTAATTAGAAAAATAGTGCACAAACAAGATAATAGACAATGTAGTGAATATAATCAATTGATGAATTTGAATGTAAAAATTTTTACATTTGAGAAAAATAAGGACAATATAACTAATGAAAATATTTATCTTAATTAATTTGTTGATAATGAATAATTTTTTTTCACTGAAATAAGACATTGTAAAGACAATGTAGCGAATATAATCAATTAATAAATTTGAATATAAAGAATTTTTATATTGTAGAAAAATAAAGACAATATAACTAATAAAATTATTTCTCTTATTTAATTTATTGATAATGAATATTTTTTTGTTTTGAATAAAGGCATTATGGACACATAATTCTAAATTAAAGAAATGCATATCTATAATTTTTTTTGTAGCTACTAAATTATTATTTATATAATTTAATAAAAGTAAAATAGAGTACTAATTATGCCAACTTTGTTTGGGATGAGGTTCGAACCTAAGACCTTTTTTTATTGAAATCAATGACTAAGTTAACGGTGAACTAACGGCAATTCTTAAAATTTTAACGGAATTAGTAACGGTGTGTGGGTATTTTAGGAAATTTTAATGTAAAATTTAAATCTTATCAATCTTTTAATCAATCTGAGCCATTCATTTGATTAAAATCTGTTACCACCATTTTTTCTACCCATTATAGGCCTAACTCTCTTGGGCTCTTATTAGTATAGTAGATAGTAGATAGATAGTAGATAGATAGTAGATAGAAATAACAATTTAGTAGCTACAACAAAAAATAATACATATGCATTTCTTTAATTTAGAATTATTTGTCTACAATGTCTTTATTCAAAAAAAAAAAATTTATTCATTATCAATAAATTAAATAAGAGAAATAAATTTTTCAGAAAAAAAAAATAAGAGAAATAATTTCATTAGTTATATTGTCTTTATTTTTCTCCAATATAAAAATTATGTACATTCAATTTCATCAAATGATTATATTCACTACACTATCCCTACAATGTCTTTATTAAAAAAAATATTCATTATCAATAAATTAATTCAGAGAAATAATTTTATTAGTTATATTGTGTTTATATTTCTCCAATGTAAAAATTCTTTGCATTAAAATTCATCAATTGATTATATTTACTACATTGTCTATTATTTTTTTGTGCACTATTTTTTAATTAAATATCAAAGTTATAATAGAAAATAATGCTATATATTTATTTACCAAGTATTTTATTAATACCATGAAAAAATTTAAAAATATATAATTAATAAAGTCAATCATATTAACTACTTTATGGATTTATTGACAAAGAGGGTATTCAAATCACATAACAAAAAGTGAGAACTACCTCGCAATGTTCTTGTTTGACAATCAGCAGTTAGCGGATTATATTATCGGATTTGACCAGCGAATTATATCTACGATTGGTAAAAAGATATTTGAAAAAATTAGCTGTTTAGATTAACATGTAAAATGACCTAAGAGTTTACATATAATAATAATAATAATAATAATAATAATAATAATAATAATAATAATTGTTTTAAAATATATATATATATATATAATTAAGCCAATTATATTAACTAATTTGGGAATTTATTGACAAAAAGGGTATTCAAATCACACAACAAATTGAAGTGGAAAATTATCTCGCAATGTCCTTATTTGGCAATCAGCAGTTAGCTCTTCAATATTAGTATATATTTAATACTAGTATTTGCACCCGTGCGATGCACGGAATTGATTTGTTGTAATATATTAAGAATATATGAATCGATATATAATTATTTAAATTAGAACATCAAATATTATATAGTGCAATTAAATATATGGTTTGGATCGTTTATATATTTTGATGGTATCATTGCTTGAATTTGTGCAAATAATTGCTCAAATTAATAGCTAATGTCTAGATGTACGCATACGGTGTTATAACTTTGAAGATTTTATTTATCATTGTTTAGAATTTTCATAAATTAGTAAAATGTGCTCGTTCTCTAACAACTCAGTTATAAAAATGAATTGGTATCCTTATTCATTTGTATGGAAGATATATTTTTTTGTCCAGATATATAACAATTTTTTCATTTAAAAAAAAAACTTAATATCACCGATTATATTTACACATTATTGGAACCTCTTTGTAGACGACATTGGTAGTGACAACACAATCCTATCCATCTTCGTCTAGAGCTAACACCTTCAATCCATCAGGACGGATTACTTGGATTAAAATATATAATGGTAGAATATTACTCGATTAGTTATCCTTTTATATTTTCAATCAATTAGTGATATCGGATTCATTTTCAGCTAATTATTCTTTTTTATTTTCAGTCAATTAATCAATTAGAATATCAAATGTAGTGATATTTTTACCTAATTTTCGTTCCATTTTTAATTGATGATGTAGAATTGTAGATATTATTATTAAAATATTTCCGTTTTATTTTTAATTCACCTTTACTATTGTTTAAAATATGCATTTACTATTGATAATGTAGAATATTATTATTGAAATATTTTTCTCCAATTTTTAATTTTCATTCCATTTTTAATTAAAATGCAATGATCTGGTCATTTTTTTAGTCAATTATGGAGCATTTTTTTTTATTTGCAGTCAATTATTAATATTCATTTCCTTTTAAAATTTTCAGTCAATTAGTGTCGAATTCAACCCGACCCCGGAGTATTTCAGCAATCCGAGCCGCTTCGCCTTTGGTCAGCAGGCTCATCTCTTGCTCGACACTCTCGCTGTTCAAGAATTCGAGCTCGACGGCTGGTGTGGCCGGCCCGGCCGGGTCTTCTTCGGTCTGCTCGGGGGTATTTTCTCGATCGCCCCCTCGAGGAGCAGCTTCCGGGTGGTCCCCAACCACCCGGGTAGGCGTTTCCCTAACGCCCTCAATCGGAGAACCCCGGCCGCTTAACGTGGTTCTCCCTTCCTCTTCTTCGCTGGAGCTCCCCGATCCGCTGGAGCTAGAGCTCGATGTCCCGGAGGAGCTTGATGCGCTGTTATGCTCGACAGCTCGATCGGGGGCTGGCGTTGCTCGGGGGCTGGCTTCGGGAGTGTAGGACATAATGTCCACTTCCTCGTCGCTGATACGCTCGACCTCCTCATCGTAATCCGCGATCGAGGCGT